CCAGCCTGAACTACATAGTGAAACCTCGTCTCCAAAGGGAGAAAAAAAAAGAAGCAGCAGCTCTGAACTGAGCATGATAGCATCATGGTACAGAACTTGCCTGGCATGCACAAGGGCCTGGCCTCTGTCCCTAATGCAGTAGAAATAAGGAAAGAGAAGAAAGAAGGAAAGAAAGAAAGAAAGAAAGAAAGAAAGAAAGAAAGAAAGAAAGTGTTAGGGTCTGTGCCTGGATCCCCAACCCCTATCAGGTGCACGGCGTGGGCCCAAAGGGATGAGACAAGCGGCCTGGTCTGCAGGGCTGCAGGAGGAGTGAGACCCTCAGCAGGGCTCCTAACTCCGCCAGTCGCGCTGACTGACCCTGGGCAGCCCGTATTTAATCAGGACCAGCAAGGAGCTGAGCAGACAATGGAGGAAACCTGAGCAGCACCTTGGGAGGGGGCCGATGCTAACTAAGGAAAACCATCCACAAGGTCTCCAGGCGGCCTCAGCGGTGGCCCATCTTGCCCCCTGAGGGGTTTCCTCATTCTCAGTTCAGGCGTGCCTGGATCACACCAAGCCCCGCATGCATGTGTTACTCAGCTCCAACAAGAAAGGAAGTATGGGAAAAAAATTCATTGAGCTGTGGCCTTACATGTCGGTACACATTTCAGAAAAGTCTTACATGAATGGATATTCATGTTTTTAAAACTTTTTTATTTGGGAGTAGAACCCAGGACCTTTATATATCCCCAACCATTTCTTTGTTCTTTGTTTTGAGATAGGGTCTCATTAAGTGGCTAAAATGCCTAGAATGTGGGATCGTCCTGCCTCAGTCTCCCAGGTGTGCACCACCACGCCCTGCAGCTGCTATTTTTCACTACTGTTACAGGTCTTATCCCCAAGCCCATCTGGGTAGCTAGAAGTCCAGTGCCATGTACAGGGGCCACAGGGAAAAAGAAGAAACTGCCATTCCCCCTGTCTCAGGACTGACCTCTGGACCACCAAAGCCCACTTCTTCTGAAGTGACTGCCCTGGAGGGGTTACCCAGCAGGCCCTGGGGAACACAGAGCCTGGTCCCAAGGGCAGTCAGGACAGCAGGCCCAGGCACAGTGTCACAGCCCATCAGAGACTTCTGGGTCCCTCACCCTTGTCCTCCAGGAGGCTGGGGCTGCAGGCATTGCCACAGCCCTGGATCCCGATGCCCTTTGTGGTAGCCCCTGGGACACAGGTGCCCAGGACATTTGCTGGCTGGGGTCCTGGCTCTCTCTACAGATCTCAGCAGAAACAACAACGTGTTTTGCATCAGACTCTCAAGCGGCCCTAAGTTCTGCGGCTCCTTCTCCCCAAGCACCCAGAGCTGTGATGATCTCATTTGACCTCCCGGCAACCCCAAATCTGGGCAGAGAAGCAGCCTCTCCGTCAAACAGAAAGGAACAGGGCCCTACACGGCCTCAGTAAGGAGCCTGGAACCAGCTTTCTTCCCCGAATCAGAGGGCCACAGACCAAGCCTGCCAACTGTCTTTGTAAACTAAGTTTTATTGTAATGGAGCCATAATTGTTCATTACAGTATCTGCTTTCGTTCCACCACAGCAGAGCCAAGGAAGTGCAGGGGAGGCTTTGTACCACACGGCTCTGTGCAGAAGAAGCTTGCCAGCCCCAGCTCCTAGACCACACCTTCCTGTTGAAACATTAGGTAGTTGAAAGAAACTTTTTTTTTTTTTAAAGACAGGGTCTCCTTACATAGCTCAGGCTGGCCTTGAATTCACTATGTAGCCCAGGCTGGCCTCAAACTTGCAGCAATCCTCCTGCCTCAGCCTCCCCAGGGCTAAAATTACAGGCGTGTGTCGCCATACCTGGCTAGTAGGTTCTATGAATCTTTCCATTTTACAGATGAGGAAACTGGGGCCCAAAGAGGTTAGAATATTTGCCTGCAGTGCCATAGCTGTGGAGGGGTGGAGCTCATAGTCTAAACAGGTCTAAGGGTGTTTTCCTGTTTATTTCCCGTCACCAGCTGGTACCCATCCAAATCCTTGTCATTTGAGACACTACAAGAGGAGTGATTTGGAGGGGATGCACCCTTCCTCCAAGAGATGGCATTCAGGATTCCAAACTATCCTGCGGGAGGTGGAGGGGCTCCCGGATTCATCAAGGCTGGGTTTGTTAACTTGAAGCTCTGGGACAGGGATGCGGGGAATGACCCAGGGAAACACCCAGTTTAACTGTTGCAGTTTAAACAGGCAGTGTCCCCACAGGCTCATGCATGAGGGCGGGATCCCCAAGGCTGCTGTTACCAGGCTGGGGGTGATGAGGGTGCTGACTTCGGTGATTAAGGCCTTGGATCCTTCCATGGTGGGTTCAGAGCTGGGTGGGCTGTCAGGCTTTGGGGTCCCATTGGAGGAAACAGGGCACTTTGCATCTGGGCCAGCCCCTGCGCTCTGGCTCCCCCACCCATGCCCGCCTTGCCCTGCTTCCTGGCTGCTCTGAAGCGAACAGCTTTCTTTCCTCCACTTCCCCCTTCTCCCGTGGTGGTTCTGCCTTGAAACCATCTGGCTACGGACTGAACCCTCTGACATGGCAAATGCCGTCCCTGTATGCTGTACGTTAGGATTTTGTTTCAGCAGCGGAAAGGTGACGGATACTGGGCTAAGCTATCCAGGATAGTTCTTAGCTCACAGACTGGAAAGTCAAGGTCAGGGCTCCAGGGCTGGCTGGGGCCAGGCTGGAGCACCGCTCTCAAAAGCTCACCCTCGCCAGCGCTCTTTCCTGGGTTGGCTTCACTCCTGGACAGACTCTTCCAGCAGGGTCAAAGTCACCCTAGTTTCTCCCATTTTTAAAATTTTATTTACTTATTTATATGTTTAGAGACAAGGTCTCCCTAAGCGGTTCAGCCTGGGCTTGAACTCATTCTGTAGCCCAATCTGGCCTGAAACTTGACAGCGACCCTCTTGCCTCACCCTCGAGGGTGCTGGAGTTCCAGGTGCGGGTCCTCACACTCCTCTACTTTTAAAAGCTCCAGCTGCATGTTCCAGCACAACACTTTCCCGCCAGTTCCCATAAAAGAATCTCAAGGCTGACTCTCATTGGACCACCTGGGGTCATGTGCCCCTCCCTGAACCAATAGCAGCCGCCTGGGGGCGGGAACCGTACAAACCAGGACCAGCCCAACTAATGCAGCTCCATTTACAGACTGAGAAAGAAAGCAGCTTCTTCCAGGGAGGAAAGCAATGCAACTGGACCAAGCCCATGGTTATCTATCTTGAGCCTCTGGAGGAAAATTACATTGCTGGGAGGGGTAGGAGAGGAAGTTAGACCTGTCTCAAAACAAAAGCTGTACAGAGGGCTGGGGCTGTATCTCTGTAAGGTAAAGTGCTTGCATAGCAGGTGCAAAGCCCTGGGTTCAGTCCCCACCCAGTACAGCAAACAAAGCAAGAAACAACAAAAACTGTTTCTTAGCCCCTACCAGGGCTTCTGTCTCTATCCTAGGAGCTTCTCTTCCCTCCATCGGAACGCAAACCCTTACCCCAGGCTGTGCTAGCACTCTCTTTAGTGCCCTGGATCTTTTTTTTTTTTTTTTTTGAGACAGTCTCACTCTGCAGTCCAGGCTGACCCTGAACTCACTGTGTAGTCCAGGCGGGCCTAGAATTTGAAGCATCCTCCTGCCTCTGTCTCCTGAGTGCTAGAATTGCAGGCAAGCACCGCCACACCCAGCTCTGGCTCACTTTTATGTCTAGAAGTAAAATCAAGTTTGAATCTTGCTGCCCAGCGCCCAGCACAGAGCTCCAGGAAACCCCACGAAGTCCGCCTTCCAGCCTGTGCTTGGCTGCTCCCCGGTAAAAGCAGACAGCAGGAGAAGCCACATGGAGCTGGAGACATGAGGGGCAGGGTGTGGTGCACAGATCTGCAGACCCAGGACTTGAAGCTGAGGCAGGAAGATCGCAAGTTCAAGCCCAGCCTGAGCAATTCAGCAACTTGACAAAACTCAAAAAAAAAAAAAAGACGGGTGCAGCTCAGTTGCAAAGGCCCTGGGTTCAATTGCCAATAATGAAAAAAAAATCCACAGGGAGGCGTCTGGAAGGGAAGTGGGCAGGAGAGCCTCAGCCAGTCTGGCTTCCCTCTCCCTGCTAAGTAAACAGGGAAGGCTCCAGTGATTTGTGCTTTGTCCAGCTGAACTTTCCATATCAGGAGCTGAGTTAGCTGAGGACGACTTCTGGTTAAAAAAAAGCCTGGAGCGTGTGGGGCGGCAGGACAGGAGGGGACAGCGTTTGTCTGCATGTCGGCCTGCCCTGACTTAGCTGTGTTCCCCCCTCAGCAGCTTCTGGAGGCTTCCCCTGGTGGGAAGACCAAGTGACAGCTGCTAAGTGAGGAGGTCAAGCAGGGAGGAGAGACCCAGGGAAGGTTCCAGATCCAGCCTGAGCCTGGGGGCTGAGATGACCGCCCTCCTCCAGCTCAAGACAAGGTTGTATGTGGCTTTTATCTGGTTTTTTTCTGTTTTGTGGTGCCAGGAATCGAACTCGGGGCCTGTGCCCTCTACCACAGAGCTATCCCAGGCCTAGGTGAGGTTTTCAGACTGGCGCGCTGAACAAGGCCTCTGAACTGCTTCCTCATTGACACAGAGGACCAACACCACCTGCCCACGGACAGCAGTGCCTGGGGCTGGCCTGGAGCCCGGCTGGTGCTTCGGAACAACAGCCAGCGCGGTGATGGTGGGCAGCAGGCCGGCTGCCACGAGCTCACCTCCCTGTGCCGTCAGGCCCAGGCCATCTGCACCACTCACCCTACTTTACTCCTTCATGTGGCAAAACCAGAGCAGCTGGTCTGGTGGCCCACATCTGTACTCCCATCGCCCTAAGAGACTGAGGCAGGAAGATTGGGAGTTTGAGTCCAGCCTAGGCAACTTAGTGAGTTAAGGAGACCCTGTCACAAAATAAGACATGAGAAATGGGCTGGGGATGTCACTCACAGCGAAGGCCCTGGGTTATACCCCCGGGACCTCGAAAAAACAAAACAAAAACCCCTCGTGTACTCATGATTTGAATTTTATTCTCTGAAATGGAACCATTGTACATTGTACAAACCATATCTACTGATGGAATAAATAAGTGAAAAATTATACTGCTGTACAACACACCAAAAAAATCATAAGAGGAAAAAAAACATTAAGTAACAGTGAAAAGAAGGTCTTTATCCCTCTAAGCAGGTCCTCGGCGCTAAGGAACATTCTGACCATGACACCACCTGCCGGTGGCAGTCACCACCCTAGGAGAAACGGTCCCCGGCCTCGGGGTTCCAGGGTTGGTGCCAGCACTCTGGAATGTGGAGCCACAGCCTCCCCGCCTCGGCGTCTTGGGGATCACATTTGCCCTGGGAGCCCTTTAGGCCATGGGGCCTGGTGTCCCCGAGGATCCACCCTGGCACGGCCAGGTCTCAGGTTCTGCGGTGGGACGGGCGCGGGGTGCGGGTGGCTGAGAAGGAAGCACATTGGATTCTGCAGTGTCACCGATCCGTGTGGAAGGCATCTGGCCGGCAGGGGGCTGCCGGCGCTCTGCCTGGCCTGGCCGTGGTTTGTGGCGGGGCCTGGCTGGTCCCTACCACTGGCCCATTCCTACCTACAGGCACTTCAGAGAGAACGAAGGACAGCCTGGGGACCTCGGACTTCGTCACCATCATCCCCCGCTGCGCCAGCTCCCCTCGCCCGTGCGGACAGGCACAGGGGGGTCTTGGCTGGCCGGCTGTCCCCGTGGATAGTGTGTGGGACTCTCCATCAGATGTCACCTCTCATTTCCCTAGAGAAATATCTTAATTTGTCTTGCCTCGAAATGGTTTTGCTGCAAAGAAAGGCGTCATCCTATCTCCAAGAGAGATCTGGAGGTCAAGCCGCCTAGAGCCTCAGACCGGTTGCCAGGTCGCATGCAGTGGGTCACAGCTGAGAGGAGACCCAGGTTGCAATGCTCAGCAGAACTGGCTGCCTGAGGGGCAGGCTGGAGAAGTACGAGGGTTTTTTTTTTTTTTTTTTTTAAGACAGAAATCTTTCAGCATTGCTAACTTCAACATTAATATTTTCAAAGTTTTTTTTTTTCCCTTATTTCAGGAGACATTTTGCATGAGGTATTTGAAATTCAGGAACATTTCTGATTCTTTTTGAAGTGCAGGAAATAGATAGGCTCCCTTTAAAAAAAAAAAAAAAAAAAAAAGGAGCTTCGCCCTCAGAAACTCTTAGAAAACGGAATCTGGCAGACACTTCCCGAGGCGGTGGGAGAAAGAGCCCCACAGCGAAGGTGGTACCTGAATATGCACCAATTTAGCCCCCAAAACAAAACAGAAACAGAACAAAACCCACAGCCCCCACCCCAGGAACACGTGACTCAAAGGGAGCCAAAACTCCAGTGCAGTAAAGAAAGCTTAGGAGAAGCTTTAGGGTCTAAGGAGCGAGTCCCAGAGTCATCAGAACAAACCAGGCCCCAAAACTGACTGTCGTAGGGTGGGTGCCTGCATCATCTCCATGGAGATGGGAAGTTGCTGTCAGGGGCCACTTCTGTGGGGCCTCCTTCCTGGAAGGTGTGCAAAGCTTCCCAAGTCCTGGGTGCTTTTCTGGCCTTTAAGGCCCAATCATCAAGGCCGCTCTCCGCTGAGACCGAGGGCTCGTCCTGGGACTGAGCCCCACGCTGTGGCTGAGTCAGTACCACGTGACAGGAGTGGGCTCCCTGCCCACGCCCTCGGGGTGCCGGGGTGATAGGTCCCGTGGATCTGAATCCAGCGGCATCCCAGGGAGGGTTCAGCACCAGCTCGGCCTGCCACCTGCTCCCGGCCTCCCCGGCCCTCACCCCTGATGCTGTCTCAGGAGATGAAGTCGCCACAGTCTTGTCCTTCGAGGCCCGGGAGATGGCAGAGGACGGAAGAGGGGGGCCTAAGTGAGGACAGGGGTGTAGAAGTGCCAGAGACATCCAAGGGCTTGCGGGTCCCAGGAACACCCGGCACCCAAGGCCCGGGCGGGCAGGGGCTGTGGCCTGGAGCAGGAGGCCAGGTTGGCTGGGGTGCCCGGCTCCCCCCACAGCTGCACCCTGCTGGCTCTCCAAGCAGTCTCAGGGCAGGGAGGAGAGAGGCGGGTCAGATGGCAGCCACCGCCGAGAGAGGGCACTTTGCAAAGGGAGACGCAAAACAACCAGGAGACATGCCGGAGGTCACCTCAAGGGCACAAGGCACAGAAAAAGAAAGCGGAAGGAATCGGTGGAACAGTGACAAGCCCCGACAGGAAGCGGGCTCCCGAAGGGCTCCAGCCTCCCATAGCTTATATTTGTGAGACAGAGTGGGGGGGACACAGCAGCAACACAAATGTCATCTTGGCTCCCAGGACAGTGTGCAGACTCCTGAGCTGTCGTCCGCCTCCCCGAGGAGGGGTCCCGTCAAGGTTCGAGGGGTCTTGCTTCGCAGCAGAGGTCTTCAGCGTCTGAGAAGTGACGCAGGGGCTCGGGTGTCCTTGGATTCGACTTGGTAAACTGGAAACTGAGTGGTTCTGTCCGCACCTGAGGGTCCCGCCCGGGCCTCGGGGTTCAGGATGCAGCCTGCGGGTGCCCCCCGCCAGGACACACGGCCGGAGACGAAGCTAGAGCCTACATCTCCTCGGGGTTCTGCTGCGAGGCCTCCAGCTTCAGCTTCTTGGAGGGCGGCCCCCCTTCCAGCTCCTGGGAAGGAGGAAGAGAAGAGATGCAGTGACAGCTCAGGCAGAGCCCAGCCACAGGAGTCGCCTGCCCAGGAAGGAGGGAGGACAACTGTGCCCCACCCAGCTCTGCTCCCCTGAGACTACTCCAAAGGACTCAGAGCGACACCACCATGCTGTCCGCTAATCCTCCCGAGGCCCAGGGTGCTCTGGCCCTCATCACCCAACCAAGGCCTAAATCTGAAGAGATGGTGCTGGGATTTGAACCCAGGTTGCCTCCAGGACATCCGCTGTTACCGCAGGGTCCCTGCATCTGCACCCAAAGGTCTGGGCTCGAGCAGGACTGCACGCTCGGCTGCAGACTCCAAGGCTGACTGGGGCTCTGGGTTTCTGAGGCCTCGGGTCCCAGCCCCAATGGACATAAGCTGGGGTCTCTGGGGCAGCCAACTTGATTGTGGGTCCAAAGCCACACAGGAAGAAGCTGTGGCCGCCCCGTCCACCCTAAAGATTCCTGGGGAGCAGGGCCACTTATCCCCCGCATCACTGTGGTACCAGTGCCTGGGGCAGAACACGATGAGCCTCATGGAAGCTGCTCAAACGCAAGAGACATTTCCAATTGTCCAAAAAACAAAACAATTTACATTTTTGAGACAGGTGTGAGCTACCTGAGAAGTTGTGGACGACTCCGTGGCCAGTCCCGACTCTGCAGACGGCTGCCGCTCCACTTTCTCCGAACCGCTGGAGTTTTCCACCGACAACTGTGAGCTCTGCTCGTCAGCAGCATCTGAGAGAGAGAGCAAGATGACACAGGCTGCTCTCAGACACGTGACAGGCGAGAGCAGATGGGCCGGTTCTAAAAATACCCAGAACTCTGAAGTCTTGTAGCTGGTGTCTTTCAGAGCTGGCTGGGCTGATGGCCTGCAAAAACACTGTGTTTATCTGGTAGTGAGGTCGCTTTGGGCAGCCAGGCGCCTCCCCCACCCCACCCCACACACACTCAGGTCACACACAGGCTGCAGGTCCCAGCCCTGCTCGCACACCTATCACCGGCCAGGCGGCCGAATAGCAGAGCTGTGATGCTGTAGCTCAGGGGGCCCCCTGGTGGCCCATGCGCCCCATGACCACAGCTGCGAATCCCGGTGCAGTGGCCAGGGAAGCTGCTATCTCCTCCCGGGTCCTTGGAGGTACGCAGACCTTGAGAAATGGGGTCTGAGAAATGACTGGTCATTGCAGGAAGTGGGGAATGCAGGAGAGAAAGGTTACAATGGTCGCCTGCCACCTCATGGCACCCCACCAACACCTGAGAGGACGCAGCCCTCCCTCCAGTGGCCCCCATGCGGGTCATCTTCCTGTCTCCCCGGGGTGCAGCATCCCAGAGCCACCGGCCCTCGGTGTCTGTGCAGCAGGGAGGGCTGGGCTGAGCAGGGGACATGGCTCAGAGGAAGGGCAGCTGCTGGGGCTCAGGGAGGGACAAGACTTCACGCAGGCCTAGCACACCTCATGCAGGGCCTTGCCCTGGTGTTTAAAGAGCTCACTAAAACAACACTGGCCAGCACCCCAGCACCACGGGCTGGCTTCTTGGGCTTTCTAAGGCAGAGAAGAAACAGAGCACAAAAAGAAACAGGGGCTGGAGCTGAAACCAGCGAGTACGTCAGGAGAGCAGGGAAGAGCCGGTGGCCAGGCAGGACCTGCAGGGTCCCCCTCCAGAGGCTGGGTGGGGACGAGACGCTGCAGGCCAATTCTCTGTGGCGCCCCAGGTGCAACCCTGACCTGTCGTGGCCGCTCAGAGCTGCCTGCTGCTGTCACAAGAAGGGTCCCCAGGGAGGCCACCAACCTTGTGTTCACAAACAGTCATCAGGGACATAAGCTCTGATCCCACAGGAAGCCGGTGTCAGGGCAAGGTGGGCCGTATCCCAGCCCAGCTGTGTCTGTAGACCCCATGGTCCTTAGGCACAGGGTGCCAGGCCAGCCTCGCTCTCATGAGAGCCAGAAGATGAGATAAAAAGGCCCCAGGCTTCGAGCTCGCCCCAGCGAGACTAAGTGTGGGGGTAATCTGGGTAGAGAGCCCCATTCGAAGCCTGCGATTCCTTGGACATTTTTAGTCTTACCTTTTAAATCCAAGCTCATGGCAGTTCCTCAAAAAGTTAGACAAAGAACGAGTGATAACCCAGCAATTTCATTCCCAAAGAACAGAAAGCGGATTCTTTGATGGGGGGAAGGTACTGGGGATCGAGCTTGGGATCTCTAGCACCGAGCCGGGTCCCTGACCTTAAAAAAAATTTTTTTTTCAATTTTGAGATGGAAGTTGCTGAATTCCCCAGGCTGAGCTCTGACTTGTGAGCCTCCTGCCTCTCAGAGCGCATGTGCACACACCTCAACATGCCTTACAAATTTTATTTCCTTTGGTTTTTGGATTTGGCTTCATTAAGTAGTACAGGCTGAACTTGAACTCCTTACCATCTGTAGCCCAGGCTGGGCTCATTCTCTGCCTCAACCTTCGAGGCGCAGGGATTATAAGTGGGTACTACCACACCAAGTTTATTATTTTTTTCGAACTCAGGAACTCGCACTTACCAGGCAGGGCAGGCTGCATTCTAGCCCACACCTGGTTTAACACATAGATTAAGCTTTTTTTATGCTAAGAATTAAACTTAGGATAGGACTTTACACCCCAGCCCCAAAACAGTTAATTTTATGTAAATTTCATCTTAATAAGGAAAAGAAATCCCTGTGCATTTTTATTCTTTCATAACACACTTGCTTTAACTAAAGCATTTAGAATATTTATTGACCTAAAAAGTCTGCCGTATCTGTGGCTCCAGCTCCGCAGCCACAGCGGGAGGAGGGTGCGGTCACAGGCGGGGACGGGGCTGACCCTGGACTGTTGCTTTGCAGTGGGAACCGGCTGGGAACCCGGGGCCCCGGCAGGATCAGGCCTTGGGGCAGCTGCCCAGTTCTCAGAGGGCGCTGGCCCTGGAACTCACCCAGGGGAAATTCTTTTCCTGGGGCCTAAATTTAGTCCAGGGAGTATGGACATTATGTCACTCCTCGCACTTGCTCAGCAGTAAACAAGTTCAAAGCAAGGTCAACAGCTGGTGGCCGACCTGCGGTCCGGGGCTGTTGCCCGGGAAGACCACGCTGTCTGCCCACACCTTCCCAGGGGCCACGGCACACAGGCCCAGGGTCTGGGGCGGTGTAGAGGAGCCTCCTGGCTGGCAATGGAGTGTTGGGCACTGGTACCCAGAGTGGCGGCCACAGAAGCATTTCGGGGACATCTAACTCCGGTGCCACCATAGCTGCCTTCCAGGTGAGGGAGGCGCAGACACCAACCCGTGGAGCTGCTGGGCCGTGGAGGAAAGATGCTGGGAGGCCGCCACACCACGCCTGCTGCCGTGGCCCCAGACTGCTCCCCGGTGGCGGGTGGACGAGTGGCCCTTCCTCTGTCCAGCGCTTTGCTGCCACTCCTGTCCTCTGCTTCTGTCCTTTCGCTGCTTGCAGTGACCCAACAAGAGAGGTGACTTCTCTATCCCATTTTATAAGCCAGGAAGAGGCCCAAGAAGGCAGATTGGTGCACTCAGCCAGGGAGCGGCGGCTTGGACCAGGCCAGAGCTAAGCTGCGGACCACAAGCCCGGGAGGCCGGTGCGGGCTGCAGGGCAGGGCAGGAGGCACCCACTGCACGCAGCAGAGGCGGGCAGCAAAGCCGCCGTGACAGTCGGCTGGGAACCTCCTCTTGGGGACACTGGGCACTGTCTGGAGACATTTTTGGTACCACAAGTTGGAGGTCAGAGCTTTGGCATTGGTGCATAGAGACCTGAATGACGCTCTGAGTCCTGAGGGCACAGGACAGTGCCCCCAAGGAAGCACCTTCCCAGCTGTCCCCAGTGCTGGGAGAGGACCAGGGCCCTGGACAAGGAGGGGAAAATGCTCCACGATGGAGCCACAGCCCTGGCTCTGGGACCAGGTTCCCAACTTCACACCCACTGGGGGAAGGAGCGAGGAGGGCGCTTCCCACAGGGCCGGGGCTCCGGGCTCCCGAACCACACACACATGCAGAGCTTACGCCAGCCCTCAGATGGATGGATTGGATCAGTAGATCCATCAGCAGGAGTTCAAGGCCAGCCTGGGCTACAAAGTGAGAGCCTCTCTCAAAACACAAAACAGACAAAAGCAAAACCGAAACCAAACCCAGAGGACCTACAGGAGTACCAGGGGCTGTATAAATGAAGCAGGTGTCACCAGGGCAAGCAGCTGTGAGACAGAACGGGGCAGGCTACACACTGGTGAGGCCTCGAAACCACTTTAGGTGCCTCCCCTGCATGCCCTGCTGCGATGTGGCCCGTGACACCACGCCACTCCATTTGTGCCCTGCCTGGAACCTGCTCCTTCCTCCCATCTGCGCAGCCCACAAGCCTGCTGCAGAGGACTCTACCTCCAAGGCAGGAAGCCTTCCCCGGGAGCCCAGGCTGCCTTTCCTTACCGGATCTACCAAGCAGTGATCAGAGCTCAGAAGTCCCCTTAGACACTGGGCCATGCCATGAATGAGCCAGGACACAGATAAACTTTACGAAGAAAGATAGTGGGTATAGTGGCACACACCTGTAACCCCAGTACTCTAGAAGGCTGAGGCAGGAGGATGGCAAATTCAAACCCAGTTCTGGCAAAGCAGCAATTTAATAAGACCCTGTCTCAACATAAGAATTTAAAAGTCGGCTATGGTGGCACACGCCTGTATTCCTAGCACTTAGGTAGCTGAGGCAGAAGGATCTCTGTGAGTTTAAGGCCAGCCTGGGCTACACAGGGAGACTGACTCAAAACAAACAAACAAAGTCAATTCTCTTTTAAATTTTCAATTAGAAACACCATGATCACAGGTCCTTCGGCCTTGGCTGGCAGAGGCCTGGGGGGCAGGGACAGGCTCCCTGCAGAACAGGGGCTTCCTGGCTCCAGCACTGCCTGGGCTGCTGATACCCCGAGGGACAGTGAGACAGGCTACGGTGCCTTCCCTACCTACCCCACCCCAACCCTGTTCTGTTCCCAGCGCTGGGTACTGGACCTGGACTACTTCCCTGGCCCCCGGCCCCTTGTCTATTTGATCAGGTCTAGATAAGTCACTAAATGGACCAAGCTGGGCTTGAACTTTTTCTTGGTTTTGTTTGGTTTTTTTGAGACAGGGTCTCACTATGCAGATCAAGCTGGCTTTGAGCTCATTTTGTAGCCCAGGCTGGTCTTGAACTCACCACCATCCTCCAGTCTCAGTCTCCCAAGTGCCACCACAGGCATGTGCCACCACGTCTGGCTTGGGTTTAAGCTTTTCATCCCCCTGCCTCAGCCTCCCGGAGGGCTGGGGTGAGCTGAGAGTGACAGCCATGCCTGTCTATCAATCTTACTTTACATGGAGTTGCTCAATTTTTAAATTCTAAGATCACATTCAAATTCAAAACAAACAAACAACCCCGGCTGGAGGTCATCTGAGACCTGGGTTCATACGGGGCAGGGAGTGGGACACTGGGTGACTCCAGCCCACACCCTGCTGGAGGGGGCGCCCTTGCTGCATGCGCGGGAGCCCAGGAACCTCTGCTCCCAGGCCTCCTGGGCTGCAGGGCCTGCTGGTCCAGCACTGACCACAGCTCTGCTGTCCTTTACCTTGCCCTTTCAATTCTTTATTTATTTAGATACTGAGGACTGAACCCAGGGCCTTAGCACTAAGCTACCTGCCCAGTCTTTCTTTATTTTTACGTTTTTTGAGGCGGAGTCTTGTTAACTCCCTAAATGGCTCTGGCTGGGCTTGAATTTGTGAACCTCCTGCCTCGGCCTCCAGAGTGCGGGGATTGCAGCCAACACCACCGCACCCAGCTCTCATTAACTGTTCCTACCCTGTAATTCTCTCCACACTTAAGTTTCCAAATATAAGCTCAGCTGCTTTTTAATGGCCCCACCAGGATGGGTCCCCATGTCAGCTTCCCTGCACAGCCACCTCTGGGGCCAACGCATGCAGGCCCTCCTCAAGTCGCCATCCCCATGGGCCCTGTACCTTCAGCCCCTGGGTGCTCCTTGCCGTCCGCCTGCACTTCATCAGCCTTGGCTTCACTGCTGTCGCTGGGCAGGGCCACGCCGGGCTCCGGGGCAGGGCTGCAGTTGCTGCTGTGCTCCTGTTTGATGGGGGAGGCGTCCGCTATGGAGCTCTGGTTGCTGTTGTCATCTGCAGAGGGACAGAGGCACAGGATGACCCCCGTGCTGCTGGGGAAAGGCAGGCTGGGTGCTTGCCAGCTGGAGCTGGCCACCGGGCATATCCAACACCCTTGGGCCCCGAGGCTGGGCGTGGCGGGGCAGGAGGGAGGTCCCACGTGGCTGGCTGGGTGCAGCCTCTAGACACAAGCAAGTGGGGAGGGACCAGGAAGCACCAGGAGGCAGCAGAGCTCCAGGACAGGGGCCCAGAGTGTCAAGGCTGCATGGATTGAGCACCTCCCAAGAGGGAGCGGGGCAGACTGAAGCAGTGCAAGAGACGGGATGAGGCAAGCATGCCTGATGCCTGCACAGGGGAGGCTGAGGCAGGAGGATCGCTGGGGCTATACAGCAAGATCCTCAAAACGCAAACAAATAAATATAAGAAACGTAAGAGACCATAAAACTACAGGCTGGAAATCACTCGGCTCCTGCAGGAGGTGCCGGCTGGGACACATTCTGCCATGGCTGGGGGTGTGAACCTGGCCTGGGGTTTACAAGTTGCTGGGGATGCTGGCAAAGTGTGTCGGCTGTGGGACCAGCGCGGGCACAGGAGACGTTGCAGGCTGAGATGCGTGGCCCGAGGTCAAGAGGCAGGGGATTTTCTGTGTTGTTTTCCACACAGGCTGTGGACAAACAACTGTCAGAACTCTGGCACCTCACGCTCAGAGCAGTGTGGGTTTTTTTTTTTTTTAAATGTGGATTATATGTCAATTAAAACTTTAACATGCTCGAAAAAAATAATGTGGCAAATATGGCCTGGAGCTGATACAAACCATGGCAGGAGCTCTGAGGGCCCTTCTTCCCGCTCTCTCTACCGTTCCCACAGTGACGCTTTTCACAGAGAGTTAAGAGGCGGCAGGGCCTGAGTGGCCCAGGGTGGCCTCAAAGTTGTGGCAGTCCTCCTGCCTCAGCCTCCCCCATGTTGGGATTGTGTGCAGGCTTGTGCCACCATGCCCAGCTCTTGTTTTCTGTTTGTTGTTCTGCGGCGCTGAGGGTGGACCGGACATTAGACAGGGGCTGTGCCACCGAGCTCCACTCCTGGCACCAGAGAATCATTTTAACCGCAGGTACCCAAGTGGTGATTCCAAAAATATCACCACTGCCTGATGCTGGCTTTCTGGGCCATGCTACCCCTGGGATCAAAGCCACTTTTGTGAAAGAGGGACAGAGTGGAGGGGCATAGCAGTACCCCAACAGCAGTCCTGGGTACCAACTGTGTGCCAGGGACTGGCACCTCCTCTATCAGCTGTTTTCTCTCGAGCTGAGGTCTCACTCTTGCCCAGGCTGGCCCCCAACACCTGAGCTCAAGCAATCTTCCTGACTCAGCCTCCCAGAGCTGGGTCTATCGGCACTGAGTCACCTCCTTTAGTCTCTCCAGAGACCTACTGGTAGGTGCTGTTGCCACCTTCCGTTACAGCGGGGTAAACTGAGACCCAAGAGCACAGCCCCTCACCCAGAAGGCCAAGCCTCCACCCAGAAGCGCCAGTGAGCTGCTGGTTTCCTCCTTTCACGAGACTGGCACGTGTGCGACCCCATCCGCCAAGGACAGCAGCAGGGACTCATGGGCAGCTGGCCACGGGGCCCAGAACTCAGCTCCCTCTCTCTCCACACATGACCAGGCCCAGTGCCCAGGGCCTGGGCCAGATGCCTGCAAGCCCAGTTCTCTGGGAGGCTGAAGCAGGCTGTTCTCAAGTTTGAGACGGGGGGGGGGGGGGGGGGCACAGCCTCCCTGAGCCTTCTTCCACAGTCCAGGGAAACTCTAAGCCAAAAATTAACCGTTCCCCTTTCTGGGAGGCTGAGGCAAGAGGATCCCAAGTGCAAGTCCTGCCTGGGGAACTCAGCAAGTCCCTGTATCAAAATAAAAATAAAATGAGCTGGGAACATTGCTCAGTGCTACAGCCCTGGGTTCAGTCCCCAGTACTGAGGGGGAAAAAGCTTACTCGGTTTTATACAAATGCCAGTTTGACCCTCTGTGGTGCTTCTCCTCATAGGGTTGGGACCAACAGGAGGGGACAGAGGTGGCCTGCCAGGACGGGCTGGGAGCGCCCTGCTCTGATCTGGCTGGGGACAGGGCTGTGTGGGGTCCATGCACACAGCACAGAGCTGGTGGCCGAGGAGGAGGCTGAGCAAGGGGGAGAGAAACAACCAGCACCAAGGGGAGGACGCTGGGCCGCGGCTCAGTCTCCTCTCTGCCCGGCTCTGCCACCAGGCACCCTGGCCATGAGCTCAGAATTCAGAAAGGAAGTCAGGCTGCGCCTGGGGGCCTGGACGAGTGCTGCAGTCAGGAACCCACGGGCCCCAGTGGCACAGCAACTTGGAAACCACCACCACCTACACAGCAGCCGGGCCAGGCCAGGCCAGGTAGGACAATAACTGTGCACCCTCCTGGGCCCACGGGGCTGCTAGGAACACGTCCTGCGTGCGGGGTTTGTCACTGGGTGAGGACAGGCTCTTTTGTTTGTTTTTGAGATAGGTCTTGCTATGTAGCCCAGGCTGGCCTTTAACTCCAGGTGACCTTCCTGCCTCAGCCTCCCTGACGGTGGGAATGCACCACCATGCCCGGCTCAGGTCAGTCTCCCTGTCCCATCTCAAGGCTCCCTGGGAGTCTCCTGGCGTGGCCCTGGGGAAGGAGCTGTGCCCTCCTCCAGGCATGGCACGAAGGCCCCCGGCCTGCCCAGCCCGTCCGCCCGGCCCGGAATGTGAACCGACCGGCCGGGAGCGCTCACCGTGCATGTCCATCATCCCTGGGGAGGAGCTGTTCTCCGGTGTGGTCACCTCTGAGCCGCACTTCTCGTCCTTGCCTTTCTTCTTATTCTTGTTTTTCTGGAGGAGAAACGGAGCGGAAACCAGATCACTGGAGTGTGTGCACACCTGGTGGAGGGCACAGGCCCACACACAGCACTAGGGAGGCAACCGCCAGGCAGCGGGGGGGCAGCACTGCGAGCCCAGGGGCTCCTTCTCCAGGCAGCAGCTGGGAGGGGCTGGGCGCTGCCCGAGGAGCAGATGCAGCCTGAGCCAGGTGGACGAGACAGAGGTCACTCTCTTCCACGGGCCCCAGGGCACTGAGACACAGGGGCATCCAGAGAGAGGGGCACGCAGGCCACACCCTTCGGGGGCCATTTTATTTTTTTGAGACAAGACCTTGCTTTGTAATTAAGGTTGGCCTAGAACTCGCAGCGATCCTCCTGCCTCGGCCTCCCAAGTGCTGGGTTCATAGGCGTGTGCCACCACACTTGGCCCATTCTTTTGTTTTTAAAAGTACCAAGGATGGAAGCCAGGGCCTTGCATGCTTCTGACAAAATGCTCTGCCACTGAGTAACAAAGTTTCTTCAGTGTCATACAAAGTAACGGTCACAGAGAACAAGGCAGATCTTCACTTAACTAACAAAGTCTGCCAAAAATATTAACAGAAACCCAGGTGTGGTGGCACACACCCATAATCCCAACACACCAGGAGGCTGAGGCAGGAGGATCACAAACCCCAGCACAAACCCCTCCTTTAGTGAGACTCTGTCTCAAAATACAAAGGCCTGGGGATGCAGCTTGGTGTGAGTCCCTGGGTTCCATTCCCAGCAACCCTAAACAAGAACAAAACGAAAGTTTCAGTATCTCCAAGATGTATGAAAAAAGCAGGTACAGAAATGTGAGGGCCGTCATTGAGTACGGCACATGGAGTTTGCACACGTGTGTGTCAGCGTGGCTCTCTGCGAGGATAAACACAAACTGGGGCTGCTGGCTGCCCCCCAGGGAAGGGCAGGGAGGATGGGACATGAGAGCGGGTTTATCACCAGAGCTGTGGTGAGAGGCAAATGCCGGAAGGTAGGGTAACGCTGACACACAGCTCCGCGGAGGCAGGGGGCCCAGACGGGCACAGGGGCAGCGGCCACCACGCAGGAACCTCCTCCTTTCCTTCCTCTCCCTTTTTTTGGGGGCGGGAGTTGTAGTACTGGGAATCAAACCCAGGACCTTGCACTGAGCTGTGTTCTAGTTCTTTTCATACTCTATTTTGAGACAAGGTCTTGCTAAATTTCCCAGGCTGGGCTTGAATCTGGGTTCTTCCTGCCTCAGGGCCCTGAGGAGCTGGGATTACAGGTGTGTCCCAAGACTGCCTGCTGGTCTTCTTCTTCCTTCTCTTCCTATTTTCTTTTTCTTTCTTTTTTTTTTAATCGGCACTGGGGATCGAACTCACGACCGCTTGCTTGCAAGGCAAGTGCTCATGCCACTGAGCTAAATCCCCAGCCCTCTCTTCCTATTTTCTCGGGACAGGGTCTATGTAGTTTAGGCTGGCCTTGAACTCATGATGAAGCCCAGGCTGGCCTCAAATTTCAGCAATCCCCCTGCCTCAGCCTCGCATGTGCTGGGATTATAGCTATGTGGCCCCACACCTAATTCTTTTACAAAATTATAATTATTAGCTAGGTGTGATGGTGCCTATGTGTAACCCTAGCACATGGGAGGCTGAGGCAGGAGGACTGCAGCAAATTTAAAAGTATCCTGGGTTACACAGCGAGTTCATGAGTAGTCTGAACTGTACAGGGAAACTGCCCGCCCTATTTATAATTATTGGCGTGTATTAACTGAATGATACAATGAATTTCTTCGCATTTTGTGTTTGAGGGGATAAAAATGTTCTTGGGATTACAGTGGAGACGGTTGTACAACTATGGATATGAATTGGACAGCTTTAAAGAGTGACTTTGGAGCCAGGCACAATGGCGCACGCCTGTCATCCCAGCACTCTGGGAAGCTGAGGCAGGAGGGTGGCAAGTGTAAGCCCAGGCCAGGCAATTTGGCCCTTGGTGAGACCCTGTCTCAAAATAAAAAATAAATAAGGCTGGGGACATAGTGTAGTTTAAAGGCCCTGGGTTCAATCCCCAGTACTACAGAAAAAAGAGTAAATCCTGGGCTCAGGGTTAGAACACCAGTTTTGCGTGCCCGAGGCCTGGGTTCAGCCCCCAACACTGAGACATTTTAAAAAGAAGAAAAATCAATTTTGGATCTGTGAATTATCTTATTAAAACTGCTTCCCCAGGCGCACAGTGCACGCTGGTAATTCTGGCTACCGGAGACTCCTTGAGCGGGGACCACTTCTCTGCACCTGACCAGGTCCCGGGTCCCTGTGCTTCCTCCCCAGGGACACGGAGGGCCAGGGCCAGGCCCTGGCCACCCCCTGGAGCCCAGTCACAACCAGCAGGCCCAGCACAGCCCGGGAACCACCGAGACCCAGGGAGAGGCTGGGGCTCAGGGACGGGCACCACCCCTCCACCCCAGGCACTCTGCGCTCTGCCTTCTCACTCTGGGGGCCGCTGTTGCCCCCAGGAGCACCCACCTTTCCAGGGGGTGCTTTAGCATTAGGCAGACTTTCTGTGTGGCCTGGGGAGATGGCTGCCCCTCTCTGAGCCCGGGTCCTCCTTGATGGATGCTACGGTCTTGCCAGGAGAAGCACATGACCCAACCGGGTGACCCACAGGCATGGCTGGCGGTGGCCTGGGACACCAGCATGTGCCACAGCCATGAGGACAGGGCCACCTGGGCTAAACTGGGTCCCCGTGGGCTCGCAGGCAGGACACCCGCCCCTCTGTGGCAGGATGATGCAGGGCGAGGGGACCCAGGCCCCGAGGAGGGCCCTGTGCCTCTCACCCCACACCCAGAGGGGCTGGGCCCACACTCACATCATCAACCTTCGGCTCCGTCACAGGGACCCACTTGTAGATTCGGAGGGACGTGTCGCCAACCGTGACCCACTTCTTCTCCCTGCCAAGGACGAGAGGATGTCAGGGGTCCGAGCCTGCTTACCCTGAAGGACACAGGGCAGGGCAGGAAAGGGACATCTCGGGTTGGCCCTGGGGGCTGTGAAGGGTTCACAGAGCCAGACCCTCTGCACCCCGCCTTTGGCACTGTGGAAGGACGGTGGCCCAGCCCGACGGGGACAGGGAAAATGACAAGGGCGCAAAGGAAGTGGGTGCCCTGTCCTGTGTGATGCCAGACTGCCCTGCTGCCTAGCGCCACCACAGCCCAGGTGATGGCTGTGCACTCAGCCTTCCTAGACCGGGAGTGGGGGGCTGGGGGGAGCCGTCTTGGGGAGCCCCCAGGGGCAAGGCAGGGGTCTGAACCCCAAGGTCACTGGGGACCTGATGGTGGCCCCGCAGGGAGCCTGGCTGATGCAAGGGACCCCAGGGGGACATCACAGCAAGACGCACTCCTGGCACAGGTGGCAGAGCCGCCAGGAGCCCTCAGCAACGGCAGGGACAACAGTCTCATTGAAACCAAGAATAGCAGTGGACTGAGGCTCTGTCCCCGGGCTGCCTGACACTTTTATATCCGTGCTGGACACAAAGTCCAGGTCCCATGCACACTAGGCAAGCACAGTACACTGAGCTACACCCCAGCCCTTGTGCGTTTTATTTTAGATCCTGGGACCCTCCTGCCTTGGCCACCTGCCTAGCTGGCATTACAGGTGTGCACCTCTGTACCTGACTGTTCCCTGCTTGTTTTGGCCTCTGCAAATTGTCTGTGGGTCTCCCCACATGATTGCATGTCCAGTGCACCCCAAACCCGCCAGCCAGAACCACAGACACCCCAACCCCAAACCCTGCTCACTTAGGGCCTACACCCAGCCCACCAGTAGGAGCAAGGGTTGGCCCTGTCCTGGCACCAGTGATATTTCCAGCGTGCCAAGCAAGAACTACACAGTGCTCTGATCCCTGCATAACCTGGGTGGTGGGAAACGCTACTGTCCCCGCTTGACTCGTAAAGAAACTGAGGCACTGAGATGGAACCTATGCTCACCCAAGGCCCATTGCCAGGCTGCTTTGTGAAGCAGCTGTCAGGCCCCAACCCCGGGCAATTTGGGGGTATGGTGGTGCACGTCTTGGTAATCCCAGCACTTAGGAGGCTGAGGCAGGAGAATCACCAGGAGTTCAAGATCAGCCTGGGTTACATATTGAATTCAAGACTAGCCTGAATTATACCACGTGCCTGTCTCAAAAAGCAAACAAAGACAAAAAAAACCATGATGGGGGCCCTGGGCTCACGGAGCTACTGACAGCTCCAGTCAACCCACGACAGCTCCTGTAGGTGCTCAGCCAGATTCTCCAAAACCACGGGGCACTCTCTGAGCCCATCCTGTCTCTATGGGCCCTGCTTACCACCTCTTTCTTTCCCTCTGATCCTGGGTCCCCCAAATGTAGGATACCTCCCAAACCCTCCTCCCTAGCATGGGCTCTTATTAGAAACGACGAGGACCAAACAAGGAGACCGCCTCGGGGTCACCCACTGGCCAGGGTGACTGTGATGCCTGTGGAGAGTGTTCTGAGGCCCCTGCTCAGCATGTGTTCCCCAGGAGGCCAGGCTGGCTTTATCCTAACCAGACCCAGGGCCACTGCACCCACCAGCACCTTGTTGGGGGGATATGTGACAGACCCCAGGGGATGCGAGATCCCTGTGTTCAGACCTCCAGCGCAGTCCCCCCTGGTGTCACCCCCGTGGCTGGGCCCAAACCCCACCCAGTCTCCTCAGCAGGGACCCACATTCTGTTTCCTTCAGCCCCCACCCCTGCTCCACCAGGACAGACAGGAGAGGCCGCTGGTGATGGACAGGGAGCCCCGCGGGGCTGGCAGAGGGCGGTGTTTAAGGGTCCCCAGGGCTCAGGAGAAATGCCACCCTCAGCTCATGGGCAGTGGTGATACCGGACACCCTGGCTATCCTCTGGGGTAAAACACAGCCACCTGCTCACATGGGCGCCTCAGGTAAGAGGGTAATTTCCTGTTATAAATATGGCATGGGACCTACTTTTATACTGAGAAACCTTTTCCTTTTTTGGTGGGGAGAGAACTAGGGCCTTGTGCACGCTAAGCAAGTGTTCCACCGGTGACTACACCCCAGCAGGTGCACTCCCCCTTTTCTCTCCCTCTCTCCTTCCTTCCCTCTCTCTTCACTCTTGCTCTCACTCTTTTCTTGAGGCAGGGTCTCCTTACATAGCCCAGGCGGGCTTCGACCTCACCAGCAATCCTCCTGCCTCAGCTTCCTGAGTACTGGGAATGCAACGCCACACCCTAGTAGCGTTTATTTTTAAAACTTATTTTCTCATGTATCTGAAAGACAAACCCAACTGTGTGTTCTGTATTTTTATTTGCTAAATCTGGCAACCGCACACCCCAGGCCTTAGTGAAATGGATGGCTGGTGGTCACAGTTAATAAACAACTCTGACTTGATCCAAAAGCCCAAGGAGGCTCAGCTCAGCCTCAGCCTCAGCCTCAGCCTCTCTGGGGCTGGAGGGCCCGGGGCAGTAAGGCCAAGCTGTCTGCGGAAAAGGGGCCAAGTTCCTAAAGTGCCCTCACTGTAAGGACAATGTGTTGGAGCCCGGAGCCCCTGCACACAGCACGGTGACTGTGTTGCTCCAGGTTCCAAGGACACAGTAGAAGCCCAACCCAGAGACCCCAAGTCTGAGGTCTGTAGGCGCAGGAAACAGCCTGCTTCCCAAACACAGGGCCAGGAGTGGCCACATCCCCCTCCTCAGCCTCAGGCCTGGGCAGCCCTGGGCAGCCCGGCTGGAAGCCTCTGGCTGCCAACTCAGGTCTGCCCCAAGGCTGGCAGAGTGGGGAGCACCAGCCCTTCCATCTGCCCTCCTTGCAGAGCAGCTGGTGGCCCTGGGCACAGCTGTCACAAGCACCGGAGTTTGGACCCCAGTTGCAACCTGGGGCAGGAGGCCCCTGCCATGCCTCCAGGAGCAGACAGAGAAAGGCAGCTGGCCTGGGGTCCCTCCTACGTCATACGCCAGGGAGAGACAAGGGACCCAGGTCTGGACCCCCGTTTTTTTTTTTTTTTCACACAGGGGCTGAGACCACCCCGACCTCCGCCCAATGAGTCCCACAGGGCGGGAGGGGACAGTGGGCTGTTTTTCTGTGTGCAAGTGGCCTGCAGCTGTTTCTGCCATTTTTAAATGGCTCCAGTTGGTCCCTGGGGTGCCCTGAGCAGCCGGGGAGCCCCCTGCAGCACCCAGGACTTGGATCTCAACTTTGAAAAGCCTCCCCCCTCTCAGGGTTGTGAAAATTCTTTGTCCCGTTGGAGCCAAACCCTGCCCACGGCCGGGCATCCGGCCATCGAAGCGGCCCTTTCCATAGGAGGCCCAGGAGCACGTGGACTTTATTGATTTCCCTCTCGCCTTTTTTGTTGGGTTTGACTCTGAAAGGACAGCTAACTTGTGACACCGCCAGGCCAGCCCAGAGGCTCAGCCCCCTTGGTTTGCAGAGACCCAGGCAGTCCCCAATAAATGACACCCCCAAATATAAATAGAGCCTGCCATGGGCCTGGCTGGTAAGGAGGTTTTAAATAAAGGATCAGGACGAACCCGCGGGCGCTGACACTCGGGGACACCATCGCGGTTTCTCCTCCCCCTCTCAGACCCTACCGAAGCCGTGGGAAAAAAAAATAATAAAGTTGAAATCAGAGAGCGGGGAGTTTTGAGCAAGTCTGACCCAAAGGGGCGATCAGCTCGCACGTAGGGCCTGGCCCTGAGGCCGCTTCGGAGAGCGACCCCGCCGCCGCCGGGGCACTGTCCCGCCCCACGCTTCCGCGGCGAGACCACGCCAAGGACCCGATCGCTCTCGCGCGTGGAAACCGCACGCGGCCCACCGGGGTCTCAGGGTTCCCCCGCCCCAGCCGAGAACAAAAACAAGGGCTCTGCTTGCAAAACAACCGCGGGCGCCGGTGGGGCCGGCAGGCGCGGGCCAGGACCGGCTCGTGACGCCCGGGACCAGCCGGTCCGTGTCCCCGGATGCCCTGGTGGGACGAGGGTGCCCCCGCGCCCGCCCCCAACCTCCTTCCCCGCCGCGAGCCTTGGCTCCGGGCAGCCCAAAGCGCTAAATTTAAACGGCGGGCGCTCGGCAAACTCCGCAGAGTCGGGGGCGCCCGGCCGGGCAGGGCGCGGGGGCGCGGGGCGCGGGGCGCGGGGCCCGCGCGGGGCCGCACAATGGAGCTCGCGCTCTGCCCGCCGCCACCGCCGGCACCGCGGCCCCGGCGCGCGGGAAGCCGCTTTCATGTGACTCGCACAAAACGAAATGGCTTCTGGGGCCGGCCCGACCCCTCCCGCGCCGCGCGCCGCGCCCCCCGCCGGCCCGCGCCCCCCGCGGGGCCCCCGCCGCCGCCCCCCGCCGCGCCAGGTGGGCGACAGCGCGAGCGCCACCTGGGCAGCGCCGCGGCCCCCGCCCGGCGCAGGTGACCCGGCTCGCGCCGCCGCCTTCGCCAACTCCGGGCCCGGGCGGCCCGCGGCGCTGCGCCCCGGCTCGGGCTCGGGCTCCGGGGTCCCGGCGATCGCGGGCGGCGCGAGCGCGGCGGGCGCGCGCTCACCATTTGCGCACTTTCTCGATCGCCGCCATGACCCGCTTGATATCATCCTTGGCGCGGCTCCGGGTCTCGGCTCGGACCGACCTGCCCGACATGGTTCCGGCGCCGAGGGCTGGGGAGCGCGCCCGCCGGCCCTGCTCGCGCTCCGCGGCGGCCACACTCGCGCCCGCTCGCTCTCTCGGCACAGACGCGCACACGCACACGCGCACTCACACACTCACACACGCACACACTCACGCGCGCGCACACACACACACACATACACACACAAAGCCTGTGCGCCGCGCGCCCGGGGCCCAGTGCGCACGCGCCAGGCGCCAGCTGCACCAGGCAGGGGGAGCAGCGCCGCCGCGGTCTCCGGCCGTGCGGCCTCCGAGTGCCATCGGCTCCCCAACCCCCGCAGCCCCGGGGAGCCGCACCCCGACTTTTCAAGCCTGGGGCCCGCCCGATCCCCGGGACGCGAACATCTCGAGCACGTGGGGCGGGGTGGGGGGAGCTGCCTGGGAACCGAGGCCGCAGGTGCCCGGGGGACCCTGGGGACCGCGGGTGGCAGCGCAAGGGCGCATTCCAGGGAGCCGGCTCGGCGCCGCGCGCCCCGCCCGAGTTGGTGCGGTGATGCAAGTTTGCTGTGGGCTCTGCACTTAGCGGAGTTGACGGAGGTGGCTCCGGACGCGGGGGCTCCCAGAGGAGGTGACACGAGGCTCCGCTCAACTGCTCCGCTGCCAGGGGACAGGCACCTGCCCCACGCCTTGTTGCATTTTTGGAAAAGTAGGATCGCAGGAAAGGTGGTCGGAGCCCCGCGATGATGGGCCAGCAGTATCACAGGACGCTTCCCTCCAGGAGATGTGGCCTTGTCCTGGATCAAGGGAGGGGGCGCGAGGCAATCTTCAGGAGCTCCAGATGGGTGGGAGGGCAGGTTGAGGCCAGGTACTGCCCCTGGGCAGGTGGCCCTGCAGGTGACAAGAACTAGGAGAAAGACTTCTGAGGGTCTCTCCCACCTCCTTGGCCTCATGTCAGGATCTGTGGGGGCAGCTGCAAGACTCAGAATGACCAGGTGCCACAGCCGTGCACAGCTACACCCCCACTGATCAGACCATGGCCAATACCTGCCTAGGTGGATGCTAGGAAAAGGAGAGCCCACTTGGGGAGCTGAACTCTCCCCACACCAGGTATTGCAGGGGGACAGAGCCACCCCTCCACACACACACACACAAAGTTGAGGCTGCTGCTGGGTGCAGTAGCAATACCAAGCAGGTTACCCGGGGTTTTGGAGTGGGAGACTGGGGAAATGTGGGAAATTTCAGGCCTTTTCCCATCTTGAAATGCAAGTTCCCAGTGTGAAAAGTGAACATAACAATGCAGGGCATAGTGGCTCACGCCAGTAATCCCAGCACTTGGGAGGCTGAAGCAGGATTGCCACGAGTTTGAGGGCAGCCTGGGCTACACAGTGAGACCTGACTCAAAGAAAATAAGAACAACTGCTGGTCACGATGGTGCATGTTTGTAATCTCGGCACTTGTGGAGGTTGAGGCAGGAGAATGGAAAGTTCAAGCCCACTCTGGGTAATTTAGCAACTTAGCAAGAACTTGTCCCAGAAAAGCAAAGAAAGTCTCGGGAGGTAGCTCATGGCAAAGATCCTGGGTCTAATATCCAGAACCATAAGTAAAATAAATCAACTGACAAGTAGGTAAATGTGTATTTCCACACGGTAAAGTACTATTCAGCCATGGAAAGTAGCGAACAGATGCTAGATACAAGTTCGAAAACATGCTAAGTGTGGTAGTCAGGAAAACAATTTAATACAGGATACATAATTTATAGAATTATTTTATAGTAGTCACCCAAAAGTGCAGGAAATCTATCCACACACTGAAGATCCCAAAGAATCCAGCTGAGGGCCTGGATCCCATGACAATACCCTCATAAATCCTCATGGAGGCCCAAAGCCCATGACAATGACTCATGCAAGTCTTTTTCACAGATCTCCACTGGGAAGGCCTAAAGTTCATCGGTGGAAGCTAGAAAGTCTGTGCTAGCAGGATGAAGGGTCTGTGCCAGCAGGGATCTGCACTGGAACCAGGAAGTGATGCTCAAAATAAGGACCAGGGTCTCCAAAAAAGTACCACAGCCAGCCTCAGCAACAGAGAGGTTCTAAGCTTCTCCGAAAATGAGGACAGCAGAATACAGCCAGCATGACAAGCTCCTTCAGGAGATCCCACAGCAACAGAAGAACCAACAGCGCCTCTTCATCCTCTCTAGGTCTCCTTTCTATGTGGCTGACCTGACCATCCTCAGGTGGGCCTCCAACACCCAGCATCGCGCTGACCCAGTTCAGCTGGTGTTACACGGTGACCACCAGCTGTCAGTGCTCTCCACTAAGTGAAAGAGGCCGGGCTCACAAGGACAGGTACTGTAGGATTCCACGGACAAGAGGTGAGTTATCTGGGCCCATCTGCAGGGCCAGCAAACAGGCAGGTAGTGCCAGGGGCTGAGGATGTGACAGACAGTGAAGAGGCCGCCCTGGGGCATGGAGCTTCCTTTTAGGGTGATGCGAGACCTGTGAACTAGAGAGGACGAAGTTGTTAACTCTGAATATCCCAAGTTTTCAGTGAATTGTACACTTGCAATTGGTTGCAGTGATCAGTTCTATGTTGCGTATATTTGAAACCCAAAGTCAGGTGTGCGGACACACCGTAATCCTAGCACTCAGCTGGCTGAGGCAAGAGAATCACAGGATCAAACCCAGCCTGTGCAACCTAGCAACCCTGTGAAACCCTGGCACCACCTGCTGGTGCCCTTCAGACAGAGCTGTGAGGTGACCAGTGTACTATTTACCCAGCCTCTGGACTCTTTTCTGTTACCCGTCTGGTCCTTGAAGGTGTCGTATTTTTGGTCCCTGATTAAACCATAAACTTTCTCCCCCCCCCAAAAAAAAATAATTTAAGACGGGGTCTCCCTAGGTAGATCAGGCTGGACTTGAACTCATTATGTAGCCCAGACTGGCCTGGAACTTATGGCCTCAGCCTCCAGAGGTGCTGAGATGAGAGGCATCTGCCACCACACTTGGCTCGAATATTTTTCCTAAATCTAATATGTCACTTTTTATAGATTCCTGGCCCTGCAGATATTTCTAAGCTTCTTCCTTTCAACAAGGCCCAGCTGTTTTAGAGGTTGTGTCTGAGGACACTGATATCTGACATATCTGAGGTTTTGCCTCTCCACACCAGGTTCGTGGTGTCACGTTTCTTTGTGACGCACCTAGCTCTCTTAGACTATGCTGGACACTGTATTTTAAAATTTATTTATAGGGATAATTGGAGGCTTCCCTGCCCAGATGATTTATATTTGCTTCTGAGATCCCTGCTCATCCGGGAGACCTTCATCAGAGCTCAGGGCTGTGGTTCCCTGACCACGCCAGCCACGCAAGTGCCAGTCTGCCTTGGGCGGAGCCTGGACCAGCTCCTGCTGGCTTACAGGTTGTGCTTCTTTTTTGTTGGTTTATTTGGCTTTTTGAGACAGGGTCTCATTATGTAGTTGAGGCTGGCTGTGAACTCCCTAAGTAGCCCAGGCTAGTCTTGAATTCACAACAGTCTTCCTGCCTCAGCCTCCTGAGTGCTGGGATTACAAGATGGGCACCACTGTGCTGGGCAGTTTGTGATTCTGAGCTCTGAGTGTTTCCAGTTTGAAGTCTCTGGGGTGGGAGGACTGACTGGTAAATACTGTGGTAGGGACCCGCTCTCCCAGCCTCATGAGAGCTGATCTTGAACATTTACTTACCTGCAGCACCTGGAAGGGTTTCTGGGCCAGGGCTGTATCACAGGAAAGATCTCCTGCTGAGCGTGGGCTTTGGACTTTAGTTTTCTGGCCTCTTGCTCCACAGAACCACTCAGAGTCAAGTTCAGATCTCCTGGGGTTGGTAAACACCTGCAGGCTTGATGTGGTTTTCTTGCTGTGTATCTCTTGATGTTTCTTTTCAAGTTTTTCCATTTTGTTTCATTTTGTTTTTAAGGCAGGGTCTTGCTCTGTAGTCCAAACTAGCACTGAACTCACTCATGTTGATCTTAAGCTCGTGGTGATCCTCCTGCCTCAGCCTCCTGAATACTGGGATTACTGAACCACTCTGCCTAGCTGGGTAATAACATTGTCAACACATTAAGAGTAAAAGAAGTGAGCTCACTATTGCTCATGTTAAGTGTTTTCACCTCTCTTTGCCCAATCTCTAAAACAGGGGTTAAAACAGTGACACCAGCCTTGTAGCCTGGTCAAGACCCTATGAGAAGGGGCTGGGGATTTAGCTCAGCGGCATAAGCGCCTGCCTTGCAAGCAGCTAGTCGTGAGTTCGATCCCCGGTACCAATCAAAAGGAAAAAGACCAAAAAAAAGACCCTATGAGGTGAGGACAGCTTGGGAACAACATCACACTGGAAAGTGTTTGCTAAGTGCAGGAGCCAGTACAAGGCAGCCTTGCGAAGACTCACTCCAGCGTGGGCCCACTCCTCAACTCCGAATCCATACTGCTGGGGGGGGGGGGTGTCGGGGGGTCTTCCAGGGCGCAGCTGCTCACCACCAAGGCTGGAAGCATTTCCCAGCCAGGAGTAGTGGGCTCTGGGGCTCCTCCGTCCCCAGGTGGGGATGGGGCCCGAAGTCGGCCTCAGGAGGCCTGCGCCGTGCAGATTGGCTCGGGCTGCTCCTTGATCCCTGGGGAATGAGCTTGGCCACCACACAGTGGGGCAGCACAAGGTCCCAGCCTCACGGTGCCGTGCGTTGCACATGGGCTGGGGAAACCTGGGGAGCAGCTCTGTGGGCCCCAAACGCTGCAGTGAGCCTCTCTGCATACTTTTTTTTTCTTGCCTATGACCACAATTATGAAAAGAGCACCAGCCCACAGACCAGCCGGCCGGCGCTTTGCCTGTTCACCCACGCATCCAATGGCTGGCCGGAGGGGTCCCTGGAAACGGAGGCACAGGGGTGGGTGTGACACTCAGGGCGGGCACAGGCTTATCAGGCACGAGGCCCTGGGTTCTGTCCCCAGCACTGCATGGCAATGATGACCACAGAGGCGTGGATAACAGCTCCAAATACTCTTTTAAAAGTGAGCGGCTCAACATGGAAACTGCATCTCTTCGCACACAGGCTCGGTAAATTCTTATGCGCTGGGGATTGAACTCAGGGGCTAACGCACACTGGGCAACCGCTCACAGCATTTTTTTAGGCCAGGTCTTGCTAAGTTGCCCCAGTAGCCCGTAGCACACTGCAGAGGAAAGCGTGCCCTCTGCGCGGTCTCCTGTGGTGGGAACCATAGCTGGGAACACTCACTTCTTGCACCAGATTGGCTGGTGCTGGCCCACGCTCCAGTCCGTCAGCCCCTTCGAGTAGGAAATGCTGATGCCCTGCAGCTCCTCCTCGGGAGCACATATCTCTGCTCCAGGCCAGGAAACTCCTCCAGACTTGGTGGTTGGGAAGCAGAGACAAGGAGGAGCCAGGGTTCCAACAGCCCCATCCAAGGCCCCTCGAGGCCACGCCCCTCGAGGCCACGCCCCCAGACTCCCATGGAAGGCCACGACCATACGCTGTCCTACAATACCACACCCTCAAAGCCACGCCCCCAAGCCTGCCCAGAAGGCCACACCCCTCAAAGACTAGGCCATGCCCACGGCCTCACTTCCCGGCACAAGCTCCCACCCCTCTCAGAGGTCACTGCTACCCAAGGGGGTCACAGGCTGGCATCCCTCCAGGACCAACTTCCACATAAATCGGATCCTGCAGTACACGGTCTCTCACATGCTGTGTTCTCAGGTCCCGCCTCCCACGCAGTAGCACACACCAACAGCTGAGAGACATTCCATGCCATCAGTGTACCCCAGTATCTGCTCACTCACTGACAGATGCTGGGTTATTTCCACTTTTTAATTACCATGAGCACAGCTGCTAGGAAAGTTAGTGTTCAAGTTCTTCCTGTGGGTGCCCATTTTCCTTTCTCTTGGCTGCAAATCAAGGCAGGCAATTGCTGGGTCATGTGGGGATTCTCCATTTAACAGTTCCAGGATCTGCTAGCTGCTCTGAGCACAACATCATGCTGCATTCCCAGCAGCCATGTGAGAGGGTTCCAGCTTCTTCATATCCTCGCCAACACTTGTTACTGTCTATCTTTTTATTTAGCCAACCTGGAGCAGGTGAAAGGGTACCTAATCTTTCGTTTGTTTTTGGGACAAAAAACGCTATGCAGCCCAGGCTGCCTGAGTAGCTGGCATTACAGGCCTGCACCACCCACCCTGCCTCAAGGTAGCCTTTGTGTATTGTGTGGAGGTGGGTGGCTCTTGAGACAAAGTCTCACTATGTAGTCCAGGCTGGGCCTCAAACCCTTGGTGTTCCTCCTGCCTCAGCCTCCCAGGTGCTGGAGTAACAGCCCTGTACCATCACGCCCCACCCAATGAAACCTTCTACAGCAAGGTTCATGCTTTGTTTCACAGCTCAGGAGTCCACACACCCTACTGAGACACCATGCTGTCTCCTGGAAAAAGAGAGGAAAGCTGGGAGTGGTGGCCCATGCCTGTAATCTCAGCATTTGGTAGGCTGAGGCAGGAGGGTCACCTCCAGTCGGAGGGCAGCCACATAGTGAGAAGCTGTCTCAAAAACAGAAAGGTAGAGATGACTGACACAACCTTGCAGAAGGATAAGTAGGTGTCTGGCACAGCCTTAACGTGTTTCAGGCTGCATTTGGCACCAACAGTGGGGGGTTTGCGTGTGCATGTGTGACTGCAGGAAGAGACAAGGGGTCAGAGAAAACTGTTTGCACGTGTGTGCACATGTGTGTGTCTGCATGTGTGTGCAAGTGTGTGTGTGTGCCATTCTAGAGACTGAACCCAGGGCCTCTGCACTGAACTACACCCCAGCACCTTGACATTTTCTGACATCAGAGTAAGGGGGAGGGGCAGGAAGGTCCGTCCCCTTCCCCCTGGGTGACTCGGGCACGGCTGCTCCTGGTGCCAGCAGTGATTCCAGACTCTGAAGAGAGGCAGTGACACCAGCCCTTCGTCTGAGGCTGGTAAGCACTGACATGCGGCCACTCAGTCCCTGCCCTGAGAGGTAACTGTCCTGCTGCCGGTGACAAAAGCGGGTTTCCGGCTTTGGACTCTTGGTGCTGGGGTGCAGCCTGCTCCCTCCCCTCCTCCTCACCTCCTCGATAAACCTGAGGAGCCTGGTTGTGATGCAGCAGGAGGAGGAGGCCACCTGCTGCCATCCCCAGGGCCCCGGGTCTGTGTGTCACAGTCATTTGTGAAGACACTGCCCGGGGGACTGTGGCCAAATCCCCGAAGGACACCGGCTCCTCGAAAACACCTGTGTCCAAGGCAGCGACAGCTGGGGGACACAGATGTTCCTGAGATCCACTTCCTCTGTGTCACCTCAACGTCCAGGTGGGCAGGGAGGGAAGGGACGGGAATGGCAGGCACTGGTGGCTTGGAAATCATCCACTGGAGAATGAAAAGCTGCAGGGTGGGGCGTGAAAGTGATACAGAGACTCAGGAGGCTGAAGCAGGAGGGTCACGGGTTCCGGGCCAGTCTGGGTAACTTAGTAAGGCCCTGTCTCAAAGCTAAATAACAAGAAAAGGGTTGGGGACGTAGAGCAGCACCCCCTGGGCTCACTCCCAGTCCCCCCGCCAAAAAAAGGAAGGAATATATATATATATTAAACTTTTCTTTGTGTGTATATCTGAGGCAGGGGCTGGATATGTAGTTCAGGCTGGTCCTGAACTGTAGCTCAGTGTGGCCTTAAACTCAAGGAGATCCTCCCGCCTCAGCCTCCCAATGCTGGAATCACAGGTGCACACTGGCGTGCCCTGCTTTGACCCTACATCTCGATGCATAAACCCTGTCTCTGTCTCTTCGTCCTCCTTTCCTGTTGTCCCAGTTTCGTCATTTCTGCTTGCTGAGGAGTCTGCGCTCTCTCTGCCACCCATCCTGAGCTCCGATGTCGCACAGGGGACCAACAACCACGCCCCTGCAGGAGGGGTCCTCACAGCGGCCAACAATGCTTGCGGCTAAGGACAGACTCTGGTGGTGTCCAGCCTCTGTCCAACTCTGCAGAGGACAAGAAGTCACTTGAGAGCCCCGGTTCCCTAAAATGTCCCCAGGAACTTCCGACCCGGCTTGGCGCTATGTCTCCTAAGCCCACAGCTGCAAAACTGATTCATAAGGCTTGTTTTTCTTGGTGTGATTTTTAAAGAACAAAGTGTAAATCCGATTTTGAAGTGTGTGACGTGCTCTGTTGAGTGGTCGCCTGCCCCAGTCGCTGTGACACAGGCTGGCTTGGGGCAGCCGGCTTGGCTCCGTGTTCCAGAATGTTCTGAAGACAACTGGCCACATTGCCAGCTGGATGCCGTGGTCAGGGACGCCGTGAATTGGGCTTTCCCTGGGGAAGGCCAGGCTGGTGTGGACGAGTACTTGGGGCCGAGTGTGCTGGGGGCCATAGCTGGCACATTTGCCCGGATGCGCATTTAGCTCTATTTCTGTGTACCGAGAGGCACAGAGCGGCTAGGGCACTTCCTTCTCCCTCGGCTGGCTCTGGTCCATGCAAAAGGGTCCAGCGACAGGTCAGTGACACCCCGCCTGTGGCTCCCAAGCGGTCAGTGTGAGCGAGGCTGGGCAACCCATGCCTCCGTGGAGACTGTGCCTGGACAAGAGGCTGTGATGTGTCCTAGCGTGAAGGTTACACGGCAGAGCTGAGGCACAAACCCCAAAGCATCAGACACCCCGAACTGTGCTGTGCAGAAGCTCTTTCCGTCTGGCCCTCTGCAGGCTGCAGTGCGATCTCACCTCTGCGAGCCCAGCCCAGCACTCAGGTACTCCCCACACTTCCCGCCAGGATCACACTCACGCATCCCCCAGCCACTCCCCTCCTCACCCGTGAATAAAACCTGGGTTCAGCCCTGGGTCGAGGCCTTTGTTCCGGGTCTTTACAACCCTAGCTGGATTTAGGACCCCCTGGCTCTCCACCCCTATAAACATGCCTCAGTGTCTATACACTCTCTCTGTGGCTTGCACTGGAAGTGGTAGATTGGAATTAATTATTGGAATTTCAGTAACTTTCCCCTGGGATCAAATGTGGACTCCTCTGGACTGAGGCGAGCTCCTGAAGGGCTCTCTATGTTTGCCAGGCACGGTGTTGGACTTCTATGATCTCAGCAGTTGGGAGGCTGAAGCAGGAGGATCTCCAAGACTCTGAGGGCGCCTGGAGCCCCATAACAAGTTGAAGGGCAGTCTGACTTACATATCGGGACCATCTACAAAATAAGTAAACAAAAACCCACCACAAACTGGGCAGTAACCTCCCCTAAACGTCCAGAGCTGGGAAACCGGCCCCTGATTTTGTCCACTGTACATTTGGAGACCCAGCGGGGTCCAGGGTGGTGAGGCGACTGTGCTGGCCAGAGTGGGGTGTAAGGGGAGACGCTGGCCTCCTGTGGGGCGTGAGAGGCTGTGTGCGGCTTCTGGGCCAGGTGCAGCCTGGCTCTTTCTTCTCTGTGGCGGTTGTAACAGATCAGGCTTGGCCGGTGATGCTTGTCGTAATGGCCACACACAGCTGCCAGATGCCCCCCAAGAAGCCTCTGAGGCACCCGGCCCACCCAGCCTCAGGACAGGCAGGGCCACACGCATCCCCATCACCAGGAGGCCTGCAGTGGAGCAGGCCTGGCCTCCCCAGGCACTGGCCGATGCAGGTGCTCGGTCTCTAAGAATCCATGTTTAATGCCTGAAGTTGGCAGCCTTAGAGGGGCAGGGATGGGGGGACATGTGGAGGCGCACAGTCCTTTGTGCCTGGAATACTGTCCCCAGCCTCAGGGGCCGTCCTCCCCGGGGTCTTCCGAGATGGTGAGGCCAAGAATCTCGCTCGCAAATATTTCCGCGGTGATTTCTTCAGGAAGTTCCTCTTCGAGGCAGATTTCGGATCCTAGCCCAACAAGGAACAAAGCATATGACTTCCCCGCAATGAGGCTTTTTTATGCTGAGGATTTCCTAAAAACCAGGAAATGACACTAAACGAAAGAGAGATTACTCTGTGCTATGCTTTGTCTTTTTTTTTTTTTTTTTTTTTTTTGATATAGGGTCTCACTATGTAGCCCGGACTGGCCTCAAACTCAGGGATCCTCCTGCCTCAGCCTCCTGAGTGACAGGGGTGCGTCACCATGCCGGACTCTATGCTTTGTTTCTGATTCCCTGAAAAGGCCTGGTGGGAGTTGGTCTGCGCTCCTCCCTTGCAGGATGCAGCATCTTAGCAATCTCTGCAGACCGAGTGGGAGCAGTGGCGTGTGGGCTTCCGGCCTCCAAGGCATGTGGCCTTCCGGGATGTAAGGGCTGAGACTCTGGCTCCAAGGCCAGAAGCACCCACAGAACGGGGCAGCAGAGCCTGCAGGCTGGAGGTGACCACCAGACACCCTGAAGCCAGCCGGGCCCCGGAGCCCAGGGGTCTGACATCAGGAAGGGACACTGGGAGAGCGGGGGCCTCTCCTGTTCATCCTCGCCCCTGACCTTGGTCCTGAGTGGGAGCTGGGTGAACGCAGCCCACACGGGCCCATGGCGAGGGTGGACTGGCTCCTGCGCCTCCTTCTCAGCCAAGGCCCCAGGCCCAGGGGACTAGAGAACAGCACAGAGGCTACAGCAGGAAGGGGCAGGGAGAGGGGATGTTCGTATGGGGTTGCGTGTGTGCACGTGTGTGTGTGAGTATGCACTTGTGCACGCGTGCCTGTGCCTGAGGCCTCACACATCCTAGCCAAGGGCTCAGTCCATCAGGACCTTTGAGAACACAGCAGGGCTGTGGTGGTGCCCGCTGTAATCTCAGCACTTGGGAGGCTGAGGCAGGAGGACTGTCGCAATTTGGAGGACAGCCTGGGCTACCCAGTGAGACACTGCTTAAAATCCAGAGAGAGAGAGAGAGAGAGAACTTTAAAGGGCCAGCTGCCCCAAACCATCCCCCGGCCTCCACACTGTGCCTTGGCCTTGGGGCGCACGTTCACCCAGCCCAGCTGGAGACGCCAGCAGCAGGTCAGTGGGAGGTGGTGGGGGACTGAGGACAGTGGGGCGCCGATGGGAAGCAGAGAACCCGTCCCCAGCGGGTCAGTGCCCCGGCCGCCCTACCTCTGCCCGCCAAGGCTGCAGGCTCCGATTTCCAGCCCTCCGGGTTCAGGCCCAGCAGTGTGGCGAAGCAGTCAGTCAGCTCCTCCTTGGTCATGTGCTCACCTGCGGTGCAGAACCCAAGACCACCTTTCAGCTCCAGGGCTTGCGGGGAGCAGCTCGTTGTCCGGCGAAGAAAGACCCAGCCTGGCTTTCCTCCAGGCTCCCTCCTCTCTGGTCTGCTCTAGTTTTTCTGTTTCAGTTTGGTTGGTTTTTTGAGACAGGGTCTCACTGTGTAGCCCAGGCTGGCCTCAAGCTCACAGGGATCCTCCTGTCTCAGCCTCCTGAGTACTGGCATTTCAGGAGTGTACCACGGTGCCTGGCTTTGGACCCTCTGTAATTTGACTGAGATAAGCAGGTCCCACACAGAGAAAGCCTCCCCGACTCTTCCACATCAAATAAAACAGCAGTGCTGTGGCTTTTTTCACCAATGCCTCCCAGCACCAGGTATGTCGGTACACACCCGTGATCCCAGCACTCGGGAGGCTGAGGCAGGAGGATCTCCAAGAGTATAAGGTCAGCCTGAACTACAGTGAGGCACTGTCACAAACAGACAGACAAACAAACTGCAGGATCAAATGCATCCCCAGCTCACAAGAGCCCTGGCGTCCGGGAGGCGGTGCCTGTGCTTCAGTGCTACATATGAGGACGCTGAGGTGGCACGGCACCAAGGCGCAAGGTCCCAGGTGCTGGGACAGGTCCCGGCCCAGGGAGGTCCCCTGTCACCTCTGGTGAGCAGCAGCTCCAGGAACTCCTCCCTGCCCAGCGCGCTCTCGCCCTGCGCGTTGGGGGCGCCCAGCACAGCGAGGCTCTGCCTGATGCCTTGCAGGGTGTTGCCGAAGGGCGGCCTGTGGTTGACGTACACCTTGAGGAAGTCGGGCAGGTTGATTTTGTCGATCAGCTTTCCCGTGTCCGCGTACTCGCTGAATCTGATCTCGTTAAACATGTCCTCAATCTGCGGGACAGACTGGAAGGTCAGGCGCCCATGTCGGGCGCTCTTCCTGCCTCTGCCTCCTGACCACCCTCAAGGCTTGATTAGAAATAGGGTCCCCGGAGCCAGGAGGGGGCACACACCGGCAATCTCAGCGACCCAGGAGGCTGAGGCAGGAGGATCACAGGTTCACACTCAGCCTGAGGAGTTCAGTGAGACCCTACCTCAAAGAATAAAAAAGACTGGGGGTGTAACTCAGCAGCAGAGCACCCTGGGTTCAATCCCCAGGACAAAACGAAACAAAACAAAACACAAAAACACGACAGAGGGTCACAGGAGCTGACATTAGTCAAATGAGGCCACAAGGTCTCCCTGGAGAAGGGCGGCTTTCAGCCCAGGATGGCAGGAACCGGGGACAGACGAAAGGAGAAGGGGACACGGGCGCTGGAGAAGGACAGTTCCAAGGACGAGGGCACCAGAGGGAGAGCAGGCTTCTCCCTGAAGGGTCGCAGGGAGCCTGGCCCTGCTGGCGCCTCCCTTCTGGATTCCACGAGAGCTAATTTCTTATTTTCAGAGGGAGACCTTATCTCAAAAGACAGACACGAGGCAGGAGGAGGATCACTGTGAGTTCGAGACCAGCCTGGGCTACAAAGTGAGCTCAAGGCCGGCCTGAACCGCACAGTGAGAGTCTGTCTCACAAAGACAGGGGAAAAAAAAAAAAGAAGAAAAAAGAAAGACAGACAGAACGAAACCATCTTCAAAATTTAGAAATGAGTTTGGCTGAATAAAGAAATAAGTCAGCAGGAAACTCAAATACTAGAGCCGTGAGCCTAGTAAGCTGAAGACCATTAACTGCACCAAACTCTCTTCCTCTTTTTTTGTTCCACTTTTCTCCATTTTACGTGTACAAGATGACGTGTGCTGTGCATGTTAACTTACGGGGCGTAATTTTTAAAATAAACACTGAGGAAGCTATCAGTCACCGGGAAGACCAACAAAACTGCCTTGGGGAGCCAGGCCAAGCGAGAGAGGGGGAGAAAGACGCGGTGACTAAAGTCGGACCAGAGTGACGTCAGCTGTGACCCCAGGAGGCCCGCTGCGAACACCTGGACCCACAGGTGTCACCACCCAGACGACGGGACGGACTCCCAGGAACGGCCACAAGGGACCACAGGGACTCAGGAGGACACAGATGACCGGCCAGACCTCTGCCCGGGAGAGAGGGAACTAGCGATCCCTTAAAAATCCCTCCCTGTGGTACTGGGCTGTAACCAGGGCCTCTGCTCTGAGCTACATCGCCTGCTCTGGTTTGTTTATTTGTGACAAAGTTTTGCTAGGTCACTAAATTCCTGGGCTGGGCCCAGTTTGCCACTCTCCTGCTTCAGCTTCCAAGATTTCTGGAATTATAGGCCACTAAGCCTAGCATGAATTAGTTATTAAATTAATTCATTAATTTTTTTTGAGACACAGTTTTATTATGTAGTTGGGGCTAGATCTTGAAATCAATATGTAGCCCAGGCTGGTCTCCAACTCAAGGTGATCTTCCCGCCTCGGTCCCTGAGTGCTGGGATTATAGGCTTGCGCCATCACACCTGGCTCTTAATTAGTAATTTAAAACTTCCCACAAAGAAAAGGAACAGATGGCTTCCCTGCTGAAATTTACCAAGTACTTAACGAGAAATACAGTACTGGTCTCCCCACAGCTCTTCCAAAAACAGAAAAAAAAGGAGGGGCTGAATAAAATTAAAACACATCCCACACACTGCTGCCATGAAAAGGAGCATACTCGTGGCAGGAAATGCACCTTAAACATGTGCGCTCTGGGCGGGTGGGGCGGTGCACACCTGTGGTCCCAGCACTCAGGAGGCTGAGGCAGGACGATCGCTGCCGCTTTCCTAGAGCCACATGTGGGTAAGTCCCCCGCCACCCCCAGCCCTGTGTCCGCATCTCCAAGAAGGGCTCACATAGTCACTGCACGATTTGTTCCTTTGTTTTTGAGACAGGGTCTCCTCGTGTAGCCCAGGCTGGTCTCAGACTGGAGCCGATCCTCCGGCCTCACTCAGCCCAGTGAGCTGGGATTACAGGTGTGCACCACCACGCCCGGCTTCTAATTAAGTTTTATGTCTCTCTATTAAAAGGGACTCTGTGTATGTAACCCTGGCTGGTTGGGTTTCTACAGAAGGCCAGCTGTGGGCCATGGGGCGGCTTCCTGTGCATGATGAGTGTCTCTCCACACTGACCCTGTCCCAAACACTCAGATGCACAGGGCACAGTCCTGTGTTACAGGTGCTGCCCACGCCCCCACCCTCTCCTGCCGTCCCCTGATGCTTCCTCGCTGGCGGGGAGGCCTCGGGCTGGGAGCTGTGCTGTCTGACCACCTCCAGAGACCAGAAGAGCCCCCTCTGTTGCTGGTTATTTATTTATGTACCTATTTTGGTACTGAGAGTTGAGCTCAGGGCCTTTGCACTGAGCTACATCTCTGGTCCTTTTTAGATTTTGTTTTTCATTTTGAAGCAGGGTCTCTCTAAAAGATGATAAATTTCCCACACCTGGCTGGAACTTGGGATCCTTCTGCCTCAGCCTTCTAGAGTGCTGGGGTTCCAGGGTGCCCCTTCTGCTATCTATGCATCACGCTTCGATCACAACTACCTGCCCCTTCTCCGGCAGCCACACCCTTCCTATCCCCAGGGGGGGTTCCGAGTCCTCCACCGGGTGCCACGGAGCTACAGATCATTCTGATCCCTCATGTACTTGCTTTTCCTCTTCCAGCGCTGGAGACTGAACCCAGGGCCTCACGGATGCCAGGCGAGGGCTCTACTGCTGGCTCCGTTCCCAGCTCTTTTTATTTTTAATTTGATACTGGCTCTCGCTAAGTCACACAGGCCACCTCAAGCTCGCCATCCTCCTGCCTCAGCCTCCCAGGCAGCCAGGCTCACGGTGTGTGCCGACGGGCCCAGGGATTCATCCTTTCTGTAGGGACCAAGCCCCCGCCGCACTGCAGCCGTGGCCTTCGCAGTGTGCGAGGCCGAGGTGGAAGGAACACGCATTGGTCTTCCCCAGTTTCTCAGGTGGAAGATTCGCCGCTGACCTCGGAGCCTGGGCGCCTGGCTTTTCCTTTCTGTGTGAAGCGGAGCTTTCGCCTCCTCAGTTAAAGGGAGCACTCATGGCCTCTCCCTGCCACATCCAGCTGCCGGCCTCAGTCTGCTCACAGCTCAGGCCATTAAGCAAAGGAGTCTGACAAGGACCCGGGCTCCACGGCAGACTGGGCACAGGGGCAGCGGCTCAGTGCCTAACCCACAGGCGGTGCCCAGCGCGGGACTCGCTGAGCAAAGGGAAGGGATGGTTCGGGGCTCCGCAGGACGTGAAAGGAAGGTGCAAGCTTTCATCACACACTCAGGGGTGGTGGCGCACACCTGTAATCCCAGTACTTGTCATGAGTTCGAGGACAGCCTGGGCTACATAGCAAGACTCTGTCTCAAAGAAATAAAATATGAGAGAGAGAGATCTGAATGACCAGTCCTACACCTTGTCCCAAGTCACAGTTGAGAGTCCATGGGATGCCTATAGCTCCAAAATGTTGCTCCTGCCTCTGCACCCTGGGGTGCAGATGGATTCTGGGGGAATCAAGAAATCATGAATGGAAAATAGCCTGGCAATTCCTCAGGCAGACACAGAGTTACATAGCAATTCCTATCTGAGGTCCGTACTTAAGAGAGATAAAGCCACACACACACACACACACACACACACACACACACACACACACACATGCTATACCGGAACATTCTCAGCAGCAGTGTTCAAAACATCCCAGCGTGGAAATGTTTTGAATGGCTAGAGAAGACGTGGCACATTCCTGTGGGCCAGTGGAATACTCTGCAGCCATAAAAAGGACAGAGGACTGACTGGGCTGCGACCAGGCAAACCTTGCAGACATCAAGCAGAGTGAGAGAAGGCAGACACAGCAGGTCACACACTGTGTGGTTCCCTGAACATAAAACCCCAGGACGGGCAGATCCTGAGAGGTGGTACTGGGAGTAGATTGGTGGTGCAGGGAGGGTCGCGAAGCAGCTGCTAACACCAACGCTCTGTTCTTGGGAGCTGAGTGACCGCACACGGCCCGCCTCGCTCAGAGCTCAAGCGCACAAGAGGACCAAGCCGCAGGGCAGTCAGCACCCCACTTAGCACGCAGGGTCGCTCCAGAGAGTAGAGTGGGCTGCGGCTGCCTGCAGGGACAGGGACAGCACTGGCAACGCCTGCAGTCTTTCCTGAGGGCTCAGGGCCTTCCAGGATTTCTCTAGATGCTCTCAGTGAGATCGACAGAAACAGCTTTGTGTCACTCTGGCCTGTCTGCAGGGACTTGCTGCTGGCTTCTCTCTCTCTCTCTGTCTCTCACTCTGGCCCTGTGGCCAGGCAGCCTCCCTGGATGCTGCGCAGCTTCTCTGGCATCAGGGTATGAATTCCCCAGTCTACTTTAGAGGCCCCATCTGCAAAGCGCAAACAATCCCGTTCCTTAGTCCCCAGCAGGGCCAAGCTGCCGTGACTGGCTCGGGTTCTGCTCCTCTGGGGGACCTGTGGAGCTATGTCACTTGGCTGTCCCTGCCTGGGCTTTGAGGATCGGGTGCTGATCTTCTGGCGTGGTTCTATTTGTTTTTTTGTCTTTTTGAGACAGGGTGTCACTATGCAGTTCAGGCTGCCTTGAACTCACCATAACTCAGGTCAGCCTTGAACTCATGGAGATCTTCCTGCCTCAGCCTCTTGCATCCAGGGCTAACACAAATGCACCACCAAGCCTGGCTAAAACCTGGTATTTCTGAGGCTCTCACCAGGACTCAGCTCTGGGGCTGTGGGCTCCAACAGCGCCCGTCTCTGGGTGCCACCTGGAGAATGAAAGTCGCCCAGAGCACACAGAATAGGTGGTTCTGGGTGAGCACCACAGCCACAAGAAGTGACTGGAGCCACAGCTCGTTTCCCCAGAGGGTCCTGGTCACCAAGGAGGGACATTGGGTCCTAGCGGGGTCTCGGGCTGTGTGACACGCTTTCTGTGTGTGTGAAAGCCACTGGCAGTAGGCCTTACAGTTCATACTCTCTGACCCCGTAATTCTTAATCATTTAAAAAGTCTTTGAAATCCACACCCAGAGATGCCCATCCCAGCCGCATCTCTGCCCAACTCTGAGCTAGCGATGCTTCGTTTCAGTGCACAGTTGCGCTGGTGTGGTGGCACACACCTGTGATCCCAGCACTCAGGAGGCTGAGGCAGGAGGATTGCTGAGTTTGAGGCCAGCCTGAACTGCATAGCAGTTTTGTAAACAAAAACAAACGTCCATATTCATACCCTGCTGGCTTGGTCCTCAGCCAGCAAGGGCAGAACCCGCACTGCAACCGACACCACACTTCCCAACAGAAACCGCCCCGGACACGGCCTGGGTCTCCCCCATAAGTTCCTTGCTCAAGAGCGCCCCTGAAATGCCCAGAACTTATTTTTTTCTTATCTTTATTTAAGTAAAAAATTGCTCAATCTCTACACCGACCTCTGCAGCTCCCAGAGGCCTTTGCACCGACAGTGCCCGACACCCTCCTCCTCCTCCTACCTTCTCCTCGGACGGGTAGAAGCCAATGGCCCTCATGACGAAGGGGACCTCGGCCAGGCAGATGTGATCGGACACCTTCCTGGTCTCCATGGTGTCGATGCCCTGGCTGCGGATCTGCGAGTAGAAGAAATAGTCCTCCAGCTCCTGCAGGGGACACCAAGGCTGTGGTCAGTGTGGCCAGCGGATGTAGCCCCAGAGGCCGAGCGGGGGCTTCTAGAGAGTTCCCGGGAGGGGCCGGGAGAGGGCTTGGCAGGAGGCAACGCCGGGGCCCGGGCACCACCACGTCCCCAGCCCTGACCCCGCAAGGTTACCCTGTAGAATTTTCCTTCTCTGCCGCCAGGCACCAGGCCGTAGAACGGGGTCAGGTCCTCACCCCCAAGGGACACGGCGGCCTCCAGCGCACTGGGCAGTGAGAGAGACGGGGCGTTAGGGCAGCCTGGCCCGGGCTGCAACGGCAGATGAGGCCTCTGTGCGTGGGGAGAGACGGCCCTGTCCCTCCGTGACCAGCCCAGGACGGCAAACTGATTTCAAGCTCGGAGCTTGGTGGCACAGGACTCCTGCCTGAGTGACAGCAGAGACTGGCACCCCGGGCCGCTGTCACCTTGGGGACCACGCTGCTCCCGTCTGCAGCACTCCTCTGCCCAAGCTGTGCTCTCTCCAGCCAGGAGCCGAGGTTGGGACAGTACAGAGGCTGCTGCCACCACTGATGGCTGCTGTAAAAACTTGGGGACCGCGGGGACCTGCTCTAGGCTGGTAAAAATAACCCTGTGCTCTTCATCTCGGGGTCACGGACTCCAAAAATAGGCCCTGGGATTGCAGAAGACCTACTTTCCAGACGGCAGACCTTCCCGGTGGGAAGGCTGTGGGTCGCAGCCACTGCCCTGGCTCAGAGCCAGCCCCGCCCAGGCCTTGCGGTGGGGACAAGCGGCTAGACCGGTCCTGAGGGCAAATCCCAGTTCTGCCCATGGCTGGCCCAGGAAGGCTTGGGGACAGGGTTTTTGTTAGTTTTGATTTTTTGAGATGGTGCTCAAAACCTTGCAATCCCACACTGGGGACTGCGGGTGGGGGTGCTGTGTCCCTGTCCCCACCACCAAGGAAGCCACACAAGATCCCATGACCTCCTCAGCGGGACGCCGATGGCCACGGCCTGTGCCAAGTTCCTAACACCATACAAAATGTGACTGCAGCAAAGGGAGGTCACAGTGACAACATGGACTGCACCTGGCAACAGATCAGAACTTCTGGGTGACCGCCTGACCCCCAGGAAGCCAAGAGCCCGGGCCTGGCACCAGGAGCAGCTCAGGAAAGGCCGCTGTGTGGTGGGGGTCACAGCCCTTGCAACCCTGCTGTGACGACATTTGGGGATGTCGCTCCCACTCCTCGGGCAGTGGGCGACCCTGAGGCTCAGAGCTCTGCCTTTCCTCACACAGGAGGCAGGAGAAAGTGGTGACGAAAGAGGACGGGAGATTTAACACAGCCGGGATCCTCGCTCCTTGGGAGGCTGAGGCGGGAGGATCACAAGTTTGAAGGCAGCAGGGCAGTTCAGGGAGACCTCGTCTCAGGAGACAAGAGGCTGGGCTGCAGCCTCACAGCAGAGCATCGCTGGGTCTCGGCCCCATTCAGAAAGAAAAAGAACAGATGCCAGACGAGAGCCGGGGAGGGGCGCCCTGGCAAAGATGCGGAGAAGGACGAGCCCTAGGGGTCCCCGGAAGGGCTGGGGGCAGTGCTGTCCTCAGAATCCGAGGGGATCCACCAGCCCCCCCTACGCTGCTACCCGGAACAGGAGGGGGTTTCTGTTGACTCGTTAGGGTTTTTACATTTCTCTCCATCAGTCACCAGAACCAGCAATAAAGTGCTAATTAGTTTATAATGATCCTTTGTCCCCAAACAGATTAAACTGAACACTCAGAAACCTGGACGGGGGCCAGGCCCAGGGAAGGGCTGGGAGCTGGAGGTGCATCTCTAAATTCCAGGCCCTGGGGCCCAGCAGAGGCTGTGGATGGGCGCAGAGGGGCTCCTCCCAGGGCCACACGCCCCAGGGCTATGGGTACACACAGCCCAGGGGCTCAGGCAGGGACAGGGTCGGCCAGGGCTCTGGAGGGAGAGCACGCCCCGTCTACGAGCTGTCCTGTGCCTGTGCCCGCAGTGCCACTCTTTCAAAGGCCACCTCTCATTTGATAGACAAGGAAGCAAGGGTCAGAAGCTTTCACTTTTTGGTTTTTGAGACAGGGTGCCCCTCTGTAGCCCAAACTGGCCTTGAACTTCAGGCAATCCTCCTGCCCAAGCCTCCCTGGTGCTGGGACTGCCAGCGTGCACCCCCATACCCGGTTTAGGACCATCGAAGAAAGAGACCCCACACCCACAGGCAGCAAAGAGAGGTCCCCTATTTCAACCCAGTGAGGCAGCTTGGGAAGTATTTCAGGGACGGGGCACTGCTGCCAGGACCATGGGTGACCCTGGGTGTGTGTGCTAATGAGAGCAGGTGTCTCTGCGGGCACCCTGAGGCCCCCGGAGTAGGAGAAGCTCCCCATGGTCTCCAGCAGTGCCCGGGATGAAGCAGAAGGCTCAGAGCTTCAGCCCAACGCTTTAACTTTTTTGATGTTGTCAAGACAAAAGCTTGCTAAGCCGCCCGGGCTGATCTCGACTTGCAATCCTCCTGCCTCAGCCTCCCCCCAGAGTTGGGCTCCCTGGCTGTTGTTGCTGGGTGAAGAGGAGCCCACGCTGGCACGCACCTCAGTTTGATTGTCCACTGCACCACCGAGTGGTCGTGTCCTCCTGCCGTGAAGGCAAAGCGGCCATCGTAGGACAGGGCCAAGCCCGCCACGCCGTTTGGGTGGCAGACCATGGCGCACGTCTTGTGTAGGTTGCCATCCACCGGCAGGATCTGCAGCCCCACCTAGACGGGAAGATGGGGTTGGGGTTCAATGGCCCCGAGTGGGACCTGGCCCGAAACAGCCATGCACCACCTCCAGATCCTCGTGCTGGGGGTACCCGAGTGACCAGGGCCACCTGGGGCTGAGAACTATGGTGAAGCTGCCCGACGTCCACACGGACACCTTCTGCCTGTCTCCAAGCCAGCCGCCCAAGGCTCTCCAGAATGTTCTCCCAAACTGTGGCTCTACCCTGGCTTACACAGGTGACTCATAATCTGTAACTAAAGCCGGGTGTGGCAGTGCACGGCTGTAAACCCTGCACTCAGGGAGCAGAGGCAGCAGAATCCCACATTCAAGTCCAGCCAGGGCAATTCAGTGAGTTAGCAAGGCCTTGTCTGAAAATAAAAACTGAATGGGTTGGGGAAGTAGCTCAGTGCAAAGGCCCTGGGGTCGATCCCCACCACCACAAAACCAAAGCACAAATAAGTGTTAACCAATGTGTGTGACTTTATAAGGCTTCAGTTCTGGTTTTGGTTTTTTGAGACATAGGGTCTCCCAGGTTGGCCTCAAACTCGTGGCAATTCTCCTGTCTCAGCTTTCCAAGTTTCATAAGATTTTCTTATTCTTTTTTAAATTATTTTTTTATTTAGGGTTTTGCAGTGCAGCTCAGGCTGGCCTTGAACTCACTTTGTAGCCCAAACTGGCCTTGAACTCACTTTGTAGCCCGAATTGGCATTGAACTCCTGGAAATCCTTCTGCCTCAGCCTCCCGAGTGTTGGGATTACAGGCATGCACCACTATACTTGGCCTCTCACTAAGATTTTTTTCTTTTTCTTTTTCTTTTTTCTTTTTTTTTTTTTTTTTTTTTTTTTTTTTTTTTTGTGGTACTGGGGATTGAACTCATGACCTTGTGTTTGCCAGGCAGGCACTTATGCCGCTGAGCTAAATCCCCAGCCCCAGTAAGATTTTTTTCAAACAAGAGATTAAAAATCATTTGTTGGGTCATGTGTCTTCCCTGGGGATAAAGAAAAAATGGGAACTTCTAGAAAATGCCTCCCAATCGCCAGTCCCACCAGTGCGTGGCTCTCTTCAGAACCCACTGACCCGGACAGGACTAACCGGGGCTGGGAACAGGGCGCAGGGTCTACCTTGTCTCTGTTGATGAACACCAGGTAGCGCTTCTGCAGCTCTGGCGCGGTTCGCACCGGCAGGACTTGCGCCTGCTCCACGGGGGAGCCGTACACCGGCCCGAGGAGCGTCTTCCTGGGCGGACAAGGACGCTGAGCTGCACACCCCGCCTGCCTGAAGGGAGCTCCGAGCTTTGGCGTGCTCGGCGCCCTTCCACGAAGCCACCTCTGAACTTCTCGGCTGTTACCCCACGAACCCCAGAATCCCATACACTGAAGCTCCACCCACTGAGTGATGGAGGGACCGATTTAGAGACAGGGTCTCACTGTGCAGCCTGGGCTGCACAGTGAGCCCAGGCTGACCTTGAACCCACGGGACTCCTCCTGCCTCAGTGTCCCGGGTGCGGGGATCATGGGCGTGTGCCACGACCCCCAGGCCCATTTTTTATTGTTAATTGTATTTTTTTATTTCTCTTTTTTGAGGGCTGATGAAATAAAAGTGATGCAGGCTCCCCACACCTGGGGTCTGGACCCTGGAAGCCCATAGGGGCTGTCCCTCATTCACCTGCTCTCCCTGACTGGGCAATGAGGTCCAGCACCAGGCAGGGGCACGGCTGCAGGGTGATGAGGCAGGGGCACCGCCCAGGGAGGAGAGAGCCTCGGCACAGGGGTGAGATGTGGAGGTGGCCCTGGGGGGGGGGCAGCCAGGGGACAGCCGTGCCTCGCTGGGATGCTGAGAACCAAGGTCACACGGGGTAACGGGACCACAGGAAGCGAGTCACAGAGCCCGTGTGCTGCTTTCAGCATCGCCACAAAGCCAAAACGACCCAGGGGTCCCCTGGCTGACTAAGAGAAACACTCAGCTCTTGGGAGGCTGCGGCAGGAGGATCGCCATGAGTTCAAGGCTAGCCTGGGCTACAAGGGCGATCCTGTCTCAAAACAACAAAACAAACAAACAGAACGCAGCAGGAGCACAGTAACACGAGAGGACAGGGCCAGCCATGGAGAGGCGTGAAGCCCTGACACCCACTTGGCACGGGTGGGCCTTGGAAACGGGAAGTGAAAGAAGCCACACAAGCAGTCACACGCTGGCGATCGAATTTACGTGACTGAGTTTCTGTTCACAGCAGAACAGACAAAGCATAAGCCGGAAGTACACTGGCTTCCAGGGCCCGGGGAGGGGAGGCTGGTGGGTGCCAGACTGACTGACTGATCGGTTTTTCTAGTACTAGGGGCTGAACCCAGGGCCTCTCTACTGGTCACATTCCCGAGCCCCCCCCCCTTTTTTTTGGTACTAGGAATCGAACTCAGGACCTTGTGCTTGCCAGGCAGGCGTTTATGCCACTCTATCCCCAGCCCTTAGCCCCTTTTAATATTTTTTTTTAATTTTTAATTTTGAGGAAGGATCTTCCCAACTCACAGACTGGGCTTGAACTTGTGACTCTCCTGCTTCAGCCTTCCAAATTGAGCCACCATGCCCAGCTGCTGTTTTCATTTCTAAAAGTGGCCGTGGACACTTTGTGCCCCAGGGTCCCCGAAATTCATCCTGTAACCCAACTCCTGCAACAGATTTTCCAGCAAGAGACCCTGGGGCTGGGGGACATTTAACAGAGCTGGCAGGCTAGCACCTCCCCACCCGCCGCCCTGCACCCACCCTTGGGGGGCCACGGTCCCCGCTGTCTCTGCAGATCTGATGGGAGGACACGCACCCCGCTTTCCCACATCTGCCCGCCTGGCCGGCACCTGCTCCCTTTCTTACAGCTCTTGCTCTGGACGCCTTTTCCTGCTGTTTCAAATATTTCTAAAATGCATTTTTAAAATTCTTTTGGATTTCTCATAGAAAGCAAACTCCTCCTCACTTACACTGTGGTTATGAGGCTTTGTATTCCTACAGTTTCAAAGACGTTTTGTGCGAGGCGTTTTATTTTGGAAGGGCAGGAATGTTCTGGAACCAGATGGAGGCCGAGGTTGCCTACTGAGAATGTTCTAGTCACTGCCGCATCATTCTTTGGACTGGATTGGGTTCGTCTGATTGTGTCATTCATTTGAAAGTGGCCGGTTTTAGCCTGCATGAATTTTACACTGATAAATTATACTCTTAAAAGGGGTAAACTAGTGAGATGTGGGGGCAGAGGCTGAGGCTGGAGGAGCCCCAGTTCCTAAAGGAGAAGATGACTCAAAATAAAAAATAATAACTGTTAGCAGGAATTTCCAGCCTGAGCCATGCTGACCCTCTTCTTCTGCCTCACGAATTTTAGAGTTTCTCAGGACTGGGAAGAGGTATGGGATACTTAAAAAGTATGTGTCCAAAAAGCCAGGCATGGCAGCCCATGTCTGTAATCCCAGCACTCAGGAGGCTGAGGCAGGAGGATCCCCATAAATTCAAAGCCAGCCTGACTACATAATGCCGCCTTGTCTCAAAAAATCAAAGTAAAACGAGACAAAGCCTAAAGTGCGTCCACTGACAGCAATGCACAAAGCTCTGACAGCCTCTCACAGTTCTTCTTTCCACATCTTTCAGGTGTGCTAAGAGAGGGCTGTATTTTTTATTTCACTTTTATTCATTTACTTTTTGTGGTACTGGAGATTGAACCCAGTGCCTTGGCCCCTTTTGTTTTTCATTTTGAGATCGGGGCTCACCATGTTGCCCCACGTGGTACTTGAACTTTCGATCCTCCTGCCTCAGCCTCCTTCTGTGCTAGGATGACAGGTGTCCGCCATCATGTCCAGCCTGGTTTTATTAAATTTTATTTCTGGTGCCAGGAGTCAAACTCATGACCTTGCACTTGCCAGGCAGGCGCTTGTGCTGCTGAGGTAAATCCCCGGCCTCATTTAGTAGCTGTTTAAACGCTGGCACTGGATTTCCCTTGCTGCCGTAGGACACGGCGCTTGTCATCACCCTTTGGGAAAAGTGGTCCTGGATGGGTCCGGCCCTCAGCCCCCGGCTGTCCCAGCTGCTGCCGCAGGTCCCCTTCCCCAAGGACCCTTGGCCCCCGCCCTGCGGCCGAGCTGCCCACCCACCTGCACATCTTGGTGGTGGAGTTGAACAGCTTCACCTTGTACCCGCTGTTGCAGACCAGCAGGAAGAGCTCCTTGGTGAGCGGCGGATACCACACCATGCAGGTCGGGTGGTGGCCCTGGTCGGTGCGGTGGACGTCCAGCACTTCCAGGTGGTTCCTGCGGCTCCTGCTTAGGTTGTACTCGATCTGCAGAGCGGCCGGGGGACATCGTGAGCCCCGGGCCCTTGCAGGTGGAGGGCCAGGGCCGGGGCGGGGCAGGGCCAGGTGGGACCGGGCGAAGGCCGCTCACCAGCAGCCTGTCCTGGCCCAGGCTCAGCAGCCGCGGCTCGTTGCTGTCCAGGTAAACCCCGAACAGGAGGCTGCGGATGCTCTGGCGATGGGAGCGCAGCCGGGCCAGGTACTCCCAGAGCCGGCGGCCGCTGCGCACCACCACGGTGTACACGGCCACGGTGAAGTTCAGGTCCTGCAGGAGCAGGGCAGGCCTGAGCCCTGCCCTCGAGGATGCGGGAGGCAGCGCTCCGCTTTTCACAGTAATGTCACTTTACAAATATTTTATCCACACACACACACAAATACATCTCTGAGAACAAGTGGGAAGAAAACGCCCATTTTACAGATGAGAAGTGAAGGATCCAGGTAGACGAAGGGAGGAGGGAGGAGAGGCCGGAGCTGACACGATGGTCTCACTTCTCCTCCCCTGGTCCCACCTCACTCTCTAGGGAAAACCAAGACCCAGGCTCCTTTCACTGTGGTCTCCTTCTTCTTCACAGCAAACGTCAGAAGGGCTGACCCGGCCTGGAGAAGGCAGCCAGTGGCCTGAAGGGCTGTGGTCGCCAGAGCCAGGGACAAAGCTGTGGGTCACTGTGCCCCCAGCAGAGAGGCAGCCCAGGGGGCAGCTGGGGTGAGCTCAGAAGTCAGGGACCTTTCTTCCTGGAGATCCTAGGCCCCGTTCACAGGGGGAAAAGCAGAATGCAAACACTGAGTCAATGACAATGGGATCTTATCAAGCATGAGAAGGATCACTTGTGACCCAGCACTCTGGGAGGCTGAGGCAGGAGGATCTCAAATTGGCCCTGTGCCAACACAAAAAATGATAAATGATTGGGGATGGCCTAGCCTGGTCCAGGAGCAAACACTGTCCTACCTGTACCCCTCCTCAGAGGGTGACCCTATTACTGAGCCGTGACCCACGGGCACGTCATCCCTCAGGCTATCGGCATGTGCAGAGCCGCACAAGTGTCAGCATGGTCCTCACCTCTTTGGCCCCATTTCCCAGCCCCCTTTTCCAGCGTCAAAGCCACCAGAACGACTGGGGCCAGGACTCACGGCAGTGGCCATGTACTGGGAGTCGTGCGAGAAGCTGACGTGTGTCACGCTGCTTCTGGAGTACTTGAAGGGCTCGGGGGCCTCGTTCTGCAGGGACATCGCGTCGAGAATGTAAACTGTGCCCTCTGTGAGGCCAGCTCCCAGCAGGGCCCCTGAAAGGACACCGGGAGGACCGGCTTGGAGGAGGACTCAGCCCTGAGAACCACAGCCCCAGGTGTGCTCTGGAGCAGGCCAGGCCTGGGAGGGGCCGGGAGGGAAGTCACCTTCGGGGTTGTAGGTCAGGCTCTGCACGCCGAACCCCTTCTCAAAGACCCTGCTGAACAGGTATCTCTTCTGCTCGTAATCCCACACCTTGATCAGCCCACACGTGCTGCCCACGGCCAGCAGTGGCTGGTACGGGTGACAGGAGATGGCGCAGACCGAGGCCCTGGGCTCCACGAACAGTTTCTCCAGTCTGGTGCCATCTGTCGTCAAGTGGTACACCGTGGCACTGGATGTGGCGATGATGAAATTCCTGTTTGCCAAGGAGACGCCAAACAGGATGAGTGCGTGTGGGGAGGGGAGCCCGCCAGCTCTTCTGCCTCTAATTGCACACAAAACGCCTCTGTCGTCTGTAATTTAGTGACATTATTAACCCAGCCACTCTGAAAATACAACGCCAGTAGCCAGCCGCCTCCATTTGCAAGTGAAAAAAGGTCCACTTTTGAACGTGGAAATGGAGTCATTAAGTATGCAGATGGACAGTGGCTGGCACAATTAACTAATCTGCACATGCAAATGCTGATTTGTGTATGCAAATACGGAGTTGGGTGCACACATACAGATGTGCCCATAAAGACTGCAAGGGTAATTAAGCAGACTCACAGATAATTCTGTCTCGAGATGTTACGGCTATTAACTACCCTGTACCTTTAACCACCGTGGCCAGGATGGAGGAGGATGAGCTAGCAACCCTCGGCCAGGGCCTGAGAAACCAGAGCTCCCAGGCAGGGTTCTCCAGCTCCCACTTACCCAGCTTCTTAATTAATTAATTAACCAGTTCTTTATTTTTGGTCTTTTTGAGACAGGGTCTCGCTATGAATTCAGGCTGGCCTTGAGCTCACTTTGTAGCCCAGACTGGTCTTGAACTTGCAAGGATCCTCCTGCCTCAGCCTCCTGAGTGCCGGGATTATAGGCGTGAGCCACCATGCCCAACTGTAAGCTTCTTAACATTAAAAAAACTCCATAGCTAATTAGTGAAATGATCCAACAGAGATCACAATCGGCCACGGGCAGCCCCCCACAAATCAGGCAAAGGACAGGGCAGGCCAGGTCCCTGGATTTCACAGCCCACTGTGTGCAGACTAAAGACCACGCCAGCAATATTTCAATCACCCGGATGACCGATTTGTGAACAACTTACCTGATGACAAAAAGGTCACCTTTTAGGGTGCAGTCGTGGGGGAAGCTCCTTCTCTCGGGGTTGGGGTTTGCTTCGCTCTGGGAGAAGGACAAGGTCCTTATGCAGCCCAGCTTGAGGTTACCATACCAGTGCACGATGGACAGCGTCTGATCGTAGAACTTGATGTTTCCCTTCACGTCGCCTGTGACAATGTAGCTGGGACATAGAGGGCATCAGTGGGTGAAGCAGCAAATACCATCCACTGTACACTGCGAACACCAGAGTCTGGGCTATGGGTTCTTGCCCAGAAGCTGGCTTTACTGGGTTTGCTGTGTTTTTGTTTTTGGACACAGGGTCTTGCTATGTCGTTCAGGCTGGCCTTGAACACACTAAGTAGCCCAGAACAGCCTGGAGCTCTCGGTGATCCTCCTGCCTCAGCCTGCCCAAGCCCTAGGATTACAGGCCTGCCCCCCGGTGCCCGGCTCACAGTTGACCCCCTTTCTGTCTGGGAAACTTACTCTCGGGTAAGGAGATCCTGGATATCACCCGGGTCCTACACAAGCATGGCAATGCCACCAAGGCCACACACTCAGGGAACCCTGGTGACAAGCAAAGACCACGCTGGACCCTCGTCCTGCCTTCCCAGCTCAGCCCGTGGCCCGGCAGCAGGGCCATAACAGTCAGTGACCTGCACCCTCTGCGAGACCCGGGTGACAGGAACCTGGTGAGCTGATGCCGGACGCCAGGCTGGCAGCTGAGGGCACTGGCTCTTAGGAAGGCGCAGCTGTGAGCACCATGGTAAAGCCATCATCTGTCGCAGCCAGAGCTAGTGCTAAGTGACAGAGTGGCTTTCCTTTCCAGCCCTCGAAACCGGCCCAAGTGGCCCCAAATCTAACGGCAAGTGGAGAGCAGAGGGGAGAGAATCCTCTCCTGGGCTGCCCAGTATGATTCACCGCCGGCCGCGGGTCACTGGCTGGCACTTCTGCCGCCCTCTGCCGGACAGAAGCAGTACTGCAGGCGGGCGCTCTCACAAGGCCTTTAGAGCACAGGGCACCAGCTGAGGTTCTGGTTCCGCTGTGTCTTTATGCGCAGAGGGTAAGGGGGACAGTTTGCATCGTAAAGCCACGCAGGCCTCCCTGTCCCCTGCGTGAAGGACAGGCAGAGGAAGCTCACGGGTGCTCTGTGCTGTTTCCACCTGGGGGACTTCAGCACCTGGGCAGGGCTGGCACTGCCAGGGCACCTGGATGCCTGAAGCCTCCCATGAGCAGTGAGCCTTCCATGCCACGCCCCCTTGCTTCTCTCAGGGAGATGGTGCTGCTGCACCCACTTCACAGATGGAGAAATGGAGGCTGGGCTAGGCCACTGCTCTTGCTCAAGGGCATTTGGTAAGAAAGGGGCGCAGCTGGGGAGCCAGCCATGTCCCCTCGGAGGCTTTTAGTGGTCATCTGTGATCCCCACAGACACTCAAAATTGAAGAGCTGGTGGGTTTTATGACGTTCTAGCTGGCTGTAATGGTGCACATCTGTAATCTCGGCCCTCACAGAGGCTGAGGCAGAAGAACCTCGAGCTAGTTCATTTTTGTGGTTGTTTTTGAGACAGGGTCTTGCTGTGTAAATCAGGCTGGGCTCGAACTCATGGCAGTCTTCCTGCCTCAGCATCCTGAGTGCTGAGATTAACACACAAAGCTGGCAAATCTGAGCCCAACCTGGCAATTTAGCAATTTAGTGAGACCCTGTCTCAACGAGAAGAAAGGAAGAGGCAGGCTGGGGATGCAGCTCAGCGTGTAGCCCTGGGTTCAGTCCTTGGGACTACAAAAAGAAGAAAGAATCTTTCTAGGCCTGGTGTCACACACTTGTAATCCCAGCACTTGAGAGGCTGAGGCAGGAGGGTCGCCATGAGTTTAATGCCAACCTGAACTCAGTGCAGTTTCCCTGTCTCAAAATACTGTATTTATGTAATAAATGTCATTTTGCAATAAAATAAACAATAACCATTCAAGTTGTTTTTTTAATCTAAAGCATCTACAATAAGGGATTACAAACTAAGTCCCTTTGGCACAGAAAATAAAGTTATTTTCATTAACACAAAGGAATTTTTGACACAACCCAAGTCCATGATTTTTTCTAAAGCCAGTGAATGAAGTGAGACTATAAAACGCAGTCGGCTGGGTGTGGCAGCTCACGCCTGTGATCCCAGCAATCCCAAAGCTGAGGCAGGAGGATCCTTGTGAATTAGAGATCAGCCTGGGCTACAAAGTGAGCTCAAGGCCAGCCTGAACTGCACAGCAAGACCCTGTCTCAAAAACACAGAAAAAAATTCAGTCAGCCCTCCCCAGGCCCAGCCTCTGGCTTGGTTCTTTCGCCCAGCAGCAACCGACTCCCTGGGCCCTGTGACTCCTGTGTGACCCCTGTGTGATGCTCGAGCTCCCTGTGTCTCTGCCCCACACAGCTGCTGGACGAGGCCACTTACCCGTCAGCCACAGTGAGCACGGTGATCGCCTCCTTCTGCAGGTGAACCAGCTTGCAGGGCTTGATGGAAGGGCTGTCGGCAGAGCGCCGGATGTCCCAGACCACCAGCTTCCCCTCCCACGTCGCTGAGAGGATCTGGCTGGAGTTCGGGTGGAAGACGGACTGGCTGAACTTCCCCACCAGCTTGTTGAATGTCTGTGGGTGAGGACACAGGGCAGGAGTTGGCACTGGTGAGAAGTACCCAGCCAAGCGCTGGTCAACAGGCCATCCTGTGACACCATGCTGAACAGGCCTGGTGGCTCACACCTGTAAGCCCAGCATGTGGGAGGCTGAGGCAGGAGGATTGCTGTGAGTTCCAGAGCAACCTGGGCTACAAAGTGAGCTCAAAGTCAGCCTGAACTGCACAGTGAGACCCTGTCTCAAAAAGACAAGGGAAGGGTCAGGCCTGTGTTCAGTTAGCTGTATGGTTCTGTTATGTTATATTATGCTATGCTACGTTATTTGAGACAGGGTCTCACTATGCAACTCAGGCTGGCCTTCAGCTCACTATGTAGTCCAGGCTGGTCTCGCACTGGCAGCAGTCCTCCTGCCTCAGCCTCCCGAGTACAGGCATGCACCACCCTGCCTGGTGACTGTTTACAGCAAAGGACAGCCCAGTTAATCACTTTATACCTAGCCAATTTTTCCTTATGTCAGTTATAGAGACTGATAAGCACACTAAATACCTGTCTAGCCAGATACAATGGTACACACTGTAATTCAGCACTCAGGAAGCTGAAGCAGGAAGGTTGCTATGAATTCAAGGCCAGTCTGGGCTACAAAGGGAGACCTTGTTTATAAACAACAAAAGCCCATCTTTCTGTGAGTTTTTGTTTTGTTTTGTGTTTTTGAGACAGGGTCTCTCTATGGAGTCCAGGTCATTCTTAAAACTCACTGTGTAGCCCAGGCTGGCCTCAAACTCAAAGTGACCTCCTTCCTCAGCCCCTAGAGAGCAGGACTTACAGGCATGTGCCACCTCGGCGGCTCCCTGCGGAGTTAAACATCGAAATATTCAGTATGGTTCTTTTATCATCCTGAAACTAAAGCATTTTGAAAGGGTCCAGTGATGCTCAGCTATTCCACTTAAACACTTAGAATTCACTCTCCCTTTATCAATATGCACGCAGCCCTGACAGAAGCCACCGTCTGGAGGGATATTTTCTCAGAATAGTGGTCTTTTTCTCTAGAACATTTTATCTTAACAATGTTCCCATTCTGTCCAACCGACAGTTCACTATGGACAAGGGACCCAGGCAAAATTTCTCAGATTATTTCCCTGTGGCTTAACTCTCAGACGTACAAAAGCAGGCACAAAACAACCGAGCTCCACATACATATTTATCCCGATGCACAAAATGCAGCAGAAATACTCACATTTTCCGTTAACAGCGGGGCACTGTAGACAAGTGTGTCTTTCTCTTCATGCTGAGAAGCACAGAAAAAAAAGAAAATGTCACTACTGAAAAACCTTGGTTTTTCCAAAGACCTACATAATAGAAAAATAAAACAAATCATATCTAAGTGAGGTCCGAGGGTTACAATTTTTATAGGTAAGAGAAACTGCTACCTCGGGCAACAGCTAAAAACATTCTGAAAGCAAAACATCATTTACAAATGCTAGAAAATGTCTGTGAGCCTAGCATTCTGGAAGGCTAAGGAAGGAGGGTCCCAAGTTCAAGCCCAGCCCAGGAAGCTGGAGATGTGGTGAGGTCCTGTTTCAAAGCAGAAAATTAAAAAGAGGCCGGGGAGACCTGAGTAGCTTCCCTGGCACTGTGAGGCCCGAGGCTCAATCGTCAGAACCCCAGAAAACAAGCCACAAATGACTGTGGCTTTACATGGTCCATCATACAAATCTCAATTCTACATTAAAACTAAACTAAATTAAAAATTGAATACAGGAAGCATCAATGACAGCAGTGATTCTGGGTATGCATGTGTGCACAAATGTGTATCTGCGCTGGGCCTGAACCCTGCGCTGGGCCTCACACACGCTAGGCAAGTGCTCTGCCACGGAGCTACTCTGCAGGCCCTTTGAGATACGGTCTCACTGAATTGCCGGGGCTGGCCTCAAACTTGCAATCCTCCTGCCTCAGCCTCCCAAGTAGTTAGGATTAGAAGTGTGTACCACTGCACCAGGACTGTTTTTTTTTTAAAGTAGGTTAAAATATAATTAACCTTTAACTACTCCAGGGCTTTCTCCTCTTTCTCCTCCCTCCTCCCCCTCCCCCTCCTTCTTTTTCAAGCCAGGCTCTCGCTATGCAGTTCAGGCTGGCCTTGAGCTCACTTTGTAGCCCAGGCTGATCTCAAACTCACAACGATCCTCCTGCCTCAGCCTTGAGATTCCTGGGATCACAGGCATGAGCCACTATGCCTGGCTCCGTACCTATCCTAAAGCGTGCAGTACAACCGCCATTTCTGCCTAATCCCAAGCCAGCGCCCTCAGCTAATGCTCACCCCATCAGTACCCGCAGTCACCCTCACCCTGTCTCCTCACCCCTGCGGACTGGCTGAGTCCCAGGACTCAGCAGCATGTATCCCCACCCCTCACCCTCCAATGCCGTGCCTGGCACCCATGTCTGTGTTCCACCAGGGACCCAGAGCACCCGCTGCTGTGTCCAGGACACACAGGGGTCGCGCCTGGTGACTGCCCTCCCATGCTGCTTGCAGGGTTCCCCCACCTTTTGATCCCCGTCAGGGATGCTGTGGGGAGGACGTGTTTGGGTGCCCTTTCTGGTGCCTTCAGGTCCCCCAGAAATGCTGAGTCCTATGCTAATTCTGAGCTTGACTCCAAAAGTTCCTCTGAGTCCACCCTGTCACCTGGGGTTGGATATGCAGTGCTGAGCTGTCTGCTAATTCCTTCCCCAAAGCCACTGAAATCCAAGATTTCTGGGAACCCCTACCGCTACTACCTGCTAAATACACTGAAATAAACATTTGCCTCATTCCTTTAAAAAATTAAATACAACGTCACTATCTGCTTTCAATTTAATATGCTAATTTCCAACAGAACTGAAATAAACACTATAATTAAATCAAAACGTGCAATGTGTATTCACAGCTTCCTAACTAGAGACCATACTGCTACATTAGCAAAATACAAGCACTCGAAGAACAAACTTAAACTTGTACCCATATCTATATATTTATTTATTTTTGTCTTTTTGAGACAGGGTCTTGCTATGCAGTTCAGGCTGGCCTGGGGCTCACTTTGTAGCCAAGGTTGGTCTCGCACTCACAGCAATCCTCCTGCCTCAGCTTCGTGAGCACTGGGGTTACAGGTGTGGGCCACTATACCTGGCTTGTCGCCATATGTAAATGAATCGAATATTTCCACTTACCCACCAGTAGTATATTGTGTGTGTTTTACTATTGCTGACCAGTTCTTTACTATTTGCTGGATTAAAAGCAAGGTGGTTCTGAAATATAAGAAGGGAAATATGTTACATAGTAATACATGTTTTTCCCAATGATTAAGCTAAATGTTAGAATTAAATGATAATTTATTTTTATTTTTATTTTTTTTGGTGCTAGGGATTGAACTCATGACCTTGCACTTGCCAGGCAGGCCCTTAAGCCACTAAGCTAAATCCCCAGCCCCTTAAACGATAATTTTAATTAAATAACTGGCCAGGTGAGGGGGTGCATGCCTATAACCTCGGCACTCTGGGAGGCTAGGGTAGGAGGACCACAAGTTTGAGCCCAGTCTGGGCAATTTAGTGAAAAGCTACTGTAAAATGAAAAATGAAAATAAAAAGGGATTGGGGTGTAACTCAGTGCAGAGGTCCTGGGTTCAATCCCTAGAGCGGCGAGAAACAAACAACTCAGTGGGGCTCTGAATGAATGCAAGAAAAAACATGGCACCAGGTGGGGTGGCACACGTCTGTAAACCTGGCTCTCGGGAGGCTGAGGCAGGAGGATTGCAGAGTTTGAGGCCAGCCTGGGCTGCACAGTGAGTTCAAGGCCAGCCTGAACTACACAGCAAGAGCCTGACTCAAAAAAACAAAAACCAAAAACTAAACATAAAATAAATAAAAGACATGGCGTTCAGTAAGCAATAAAAATATCATTTAAATACTGGCTGCCACAGTAAGCGGTATAAAATGTGCTCATTTTCACACCTTTCTTATTATATTCATTACCTAGAAAGTGGAGCAGGAAACAATAAACAAACATTCACTCCACTGCTCTGCCGCGGAGCTGCACGACCCTCTCCTGCCCCTGCATGGTAAAGGATAAGGCAGGAAGAAGCCAGGGTGCTGGAGGGGGTTCTGGGCTTTGTTTTGTCTTTGGTGCTGGGGATCGAACCCTCCTCCCTCGCCAAGCCACACGCCGCCGCCAGCTGGGGACTCGACCCTGGCAGCTGGGACCAACAGGCGCCGCAGGGAGCAAACAGCACGGAGGGTGCCCCCAGGCCGCCAGTGCGACAGTGCTGGGGCGCAGGGGAGATGCCATCCGTCCACCAGGCGGCTGCCCTGCGCTGCCGCCCCATCTCCACGCCCACTGTGTCCCCGAGGCTGCTGGGACCTAAACTACCAAGGTCAACCCAGGGGCCAGGGTGAGGTGACCTCGTGGGGACTGCAAATCAGGTCGGCCCACACTGGACAGCTCTGGTGAGTTCTGTCACAAGAAAAGGGAGGTTTCGTTTTGTTTTGTTTTTGGGGGAAGTTACCATCCCAAACGTCCAATTATTTCTATACCTTTAAAACACAACAAGCCCAGTGTGGTGGCACAGGCCTATAATCCCAGCACTCAGGAGGCTGAGGCAGGAGGATCACTGCAAATTCAAGACCAGCCAGGGCTACATCATGAGTTTAAGTCCAGCTTGAATGACTATATCATGAGGCCAGATCTTTAAAAAAACAAAACAAAACAAGCAAGCAAACAAACAAAAAACCCAACAAGCATTGAATGCAAAATAGCCAAGCCTATGCAACACACGAACATAACCTAACACCACGGTACAGCAATCAGCAGGAAGAGGCCGTGGGGGCCTGGGTGCTGGGGTTACAGACACAGACCTGGTAACAACCGGCATCAATGTGCGTGAGGGAGCAAGGGCAAAGGGAGAACCCCAGCAAACAGTCAAATAGAAATCCCAGCTCCGAAACACGATTTAAAAACTCAAAACATGGTTTCAAAGAGAATGAGATACAGCTGAAGAAAGACTGGCCAGCAGAAAAGAAAGGGACCTAGGGAAATTATCCAGGCTGGAGCACAAAGGGTCAAGGAGAGAAAACCAGGAAGCAGCAGAGGACACAATGGAAAAAGGCCCGGTTACAGGTGACCCGCGTCCCACAAGAGGAGGGCTGAAATGTGGCAGAAGGGACAGGAGAGAAGCAGCGCTGAGGATTTCCCAAATCTGAGGACAGAAATAACATGTCCCAGCTCTGAGAGACCCCCGAGAATAATGCCTTTTTAAAAAATCCCCTTTACACAAAGATACATTACTGAAAAACTGCTAAAAACCAACAAGACGAATCTTTAAACTCATCCAGGTTGCTCTGAAGAGAAGAGCTGAGAGTTGACTTCTGAACAGAAATGGTACAAGTCAGTGGAATTCAAGGTGCTGGCAGGAGAAAAATCTACCACTCTGGGACACAAAACTCAGAGGAAGCGTCCTTAACAAATAAAAACCACAGCCAGGAGTGGTGGTGATGCCTGTCATCCCAGCACTCGGGAGGCTGAGGCAGGAGGATCGCTGCAAGTTGCACACCAGTCTGAGCTAGAAAGTGAGTTGAAGGCCAGCCCGAACTGCATAGCGAGATCCTGTCTCAGAAACCCGAATAAATAAATAAGGGCAGTGTCCAGCAGAAACGAAGAGATACACGTATCTCTTCAACCAGGGCCCAATGCTAGTGTCCAGCGAGAGGAAAAACAGAACTTTTCCAGCCATGAAGAAAGAATAAATTATTGATCCCTGTGACAACATAACTGAGTGAAGCCCCTGACTCTGGAGGGGAAAGGAGGCCATTTGTATAAAATCCTAGAAAACACAAAAGGCAAACACTGAGCATCAAGAGGACAGGGACGCTGGGCGATGAGTGCGCGGGTGGGACTGTACCTGGGAGGGGGTTTGGAGGAGGAGGAGGCCCCCAGGGGCCGGGGAGAATCTCAAGTGCCAGCTGAAGCCCACAGAGAGTGAAAAGAAAAACTTCAGTGCAGGAGGCGGAGCTGGCGTGCCTTTGCCCAGGGCTGGACTCCCTACAGGAGAGGAGGAGCTGCCGCGACCTGGGGACCTGTGGTCAGGATGACGGCGGCAGCTGATGGCGCAAGGCCTCTGCAGAGAGACACAGCGACTGGCCGGAGCCATTTGGAGCTGGGCTGATAAGCGCAGAACCAGAACCACTGCGGCTCCGGCTCCGTGGTGGGGGCAGACCAGGGAAACTGTGCAGACTGCTAGCTCAGGGAGCCTGGCCCGGCGGCCTGCTGCGGCCACCCACCTCTCCCTGTGGACAGAGGCTGGCCTGCTGGCGGGGAGCGGCAGCATTCGGGGCTCTGTGGCCACGGGCTGTCTACTGTGAACCCGGAGACAGTCCTGGAGGTGGACTCTTGGTTGTGTCCTTTCTTGTTTGTTGGTTTGGCTTGGTTTGGTTCCTCTCTGTTTTATGGGTGAGAGCCGCTCCTGACCTCTCCTCTCACGGCTGTGGCTCTCTTCTGTCCCTCCCTTCATCTCCTCCACCTCTCTTCCCACCCCCCGAATCAGTCGTGTGCACGAGTTCCCCAAGTGGTCCTGATCCATCTTTGTCCTCCAACCTGACTTGTAATCTGTTTTTCCACTTCTCTAATTTTCTCCTTACTCCATTTTAAATTTCAACCCCGAGGGCAAAATTGACACATTACGGACTTACACGTCCCGTATCATTATCTGGTTTGTTTTACGTTTTGTTATGCATTCACAAAGCTAGATCACAGGGTTAAAAGTTGCAGATTAAGGGTGAGCTGTTTGTTGTTTTATAGGCTGTATTTGATGCTACTGGTACCATTACAGCCAAAGTCACATAACTGTTCTAAACAGCTGTTGGTCCTGATAATCCACGACTAAGACTGACTAAGGGTCACAGAAAATATGGTGGCACAGCACCAAAGAACCAGGGACTGGGCCAAACATGCAACAGCTTCGCATCTCCAACAAACTGAAGAGGTGAGATCTTACAACAGCCTCAAAACCCAAAAACCAGCTACACCTGGAAGAAACCTCAGAGACGTAATCATCACTGAAGGGCCCAAAATACTACCAATAAAGCAGCCCATCATGGACAATGTACAAGCACCGCCCCAGGAATTAAACTGAAAAAAGCAAGTAAAAGAGAAGACACTTAAGATGCAGCCAAAGACATCCAGGTCACCAAAGGCAAACCCAGGGGCAATGAGGGGGACAGTCTGAAAGCCCCCGCAGGGTCTCTCTGAAGTGGAGACAAAGCAATTAATTGAGGCTCTGGAAAAATGAAATCAGAAGTAATCTCTCTGATAACTACAGAGACTACCAAAATACCGTGCTTAGCAACATTAGAGCAGATGCAGACAAAAAAATAGACCAACTTGAGCAAATCATGGAAGTGCAACAGAGGAAAGAAGTGGGCTCCCTAAAGCAGATTCAAGCGGATACCCTGGAGGGTAAAACTGCACTGAAAATATTTAAAGCAGATTCGGCAGTGCGAGGTCAGGACCTCAGACACTGAAGGCTTGCAGTTAGCAATGGGAAAAGAAAGAGTTCTCAAAAATAGCAGGAGACAATGAGAAATCAGTCCAGCAGCTCTAGATGAGAGAGAAAAGAATAACCTAAGATTAACTGGAGTCAGTGTACAAGCAGGAGACACCACAAATGACATCAAAAACTGTTCACAGACATCATGACAGGAAACTTTCCTGGTAGAGAAAAAGAATTTGACACGCAGGTAAATGAGGCATATAGAGCTCCAATTAGCAGTGATCAAAACAATCTACAGCCAGGCGTATCATAGTCAAGATTCCAGAAATTCAACACAAGAACAGAAACACATCTCGGATAAAGGAGAGCCCGGCAGAATCACAGCTGACTTCTCCGCACAAGCTCTCAAGTCAAGGAGAGCCTGGAGTGAAGCACTCCAAGCTCCAAAGGAAAACAACTTTCACCCAGGTTGGCGTACCCCGCAAAACTACCTGATGGAGACATAAGGTGCTTCCATGACACAGAACATCTGAGGGAGTTTATGACCACCACACCAGCACTCCAGAATGTTCTGAAGGACTTTCAAGAAAGACATACTGAGGACTCCAGCTCCACAAACCCCAGCAGAAGGAATCCATCAGGAAAGGCAAACAATTAGAAAGTGTGTGTGTGTGGGGGGGGAGCCAACCACAGGAAAATAACACGACAAAGATAAGTCCATACATAGCAGTTTTAACCAGTAATGGTCTCAGTTTACCAGTCAAAACA